TCCCAGTTCGTTCGAAGGAATTAGAACATATTAATTTTTTACTCGAGTTTGAAAAAGCCCTTACAACGGTTAATGGAAAAAAATAATCAGCTAATAATAGGAGGTGATTTCAACATGATCAGCAATTTTAACCTGGATTACATGGGAACTGGTAAACGAAAGGTTCTCTCAAAATTTGGTAGACTCTTTGAAAATTTTGTGGATAGATTAAATTTGATTGATATTTGGAGAGTGCGAAATGGAATGAAAAAACAATTTACGTATAGACAAATCAATCCTTTTATGCAAAGTCGACTTGATTATTGGTTTGTATCCGAAAAACTAGATGAAATAATATCAAAATGCAATATAATATCATCTATAGCTCCTGATCATTCAGCTGTACAACTAAACTTTCTTAATTTACCTTCGAATGATATCAAATTCAAGGGATCTTATTGGAAATTTAATAATAGTTTATGTAAAGATGAAAAGTTCATCGTGTTAATGAAAACCGCAATCATTGAACTGAAAGAGGACTATAAAACAGAAATAGAAAGTAAAAGAGTTTTATGGGATTTTTTGAAAATGAAAATAAACAGTTTTATCAGAAAATATTCGAAAGAAAAAGCAAAGCTCAGAAAGGAAAAAATTGGGAGTCTAGAAATAGAAATACTCTCCCTTGAAGAAGATCTTTTGAAAGCAGTAGATAATGAGAAGATTGCATCTTTAGAACTGAAACGAAGAGAATTAAAAGCATGCTATGATTATATTAATGAAGGACTTAAAATTCGTTCTAGAGCATCGTACTTTGAAAGAGGAGAAACAAATACTAATTACTTTACCCAATTGATGGAATCAAATAAGAGAAAAACAGTAATCAGAAAACTAATGATAAAATGAAGAGAAAATAAGTTTTGATCAGAGAGATATAATTAAAGAAATACACAAGTTTTATAGCAAACTATATGCGCATTCCACGGTAGATTCCAATTCTAGTGATGCTTTTTTCACAAATCTACCCAAACTAAATCCAGACTCTATGGATATTTGTGAAGGGAAAGTTACAGAGAGGGAATGTATGGCAGTTTTGAAAGAAATGAAATTTAACAACACACCAGGTAACGATGGTTTAAGTGTTGAATTTTATTCATTATTTTGGCCGGTAATAGGAGACGTAGTGGTCGATGCTTTGAATGAATCCTTTTGTGAGGGAGAACTCTCCCACTCACAAAAACAGGCAGTAATTACTTTAATTCATAAAGAAGGCAAAGATCCGTTACAAATTAAAAACTACAGACCCATTTCCTTACTTAATGTGGACTACAAGATTTTAACAAAAGCTCTTTCAACAAGAATTAAAAAAGTATTACCAGAAGTTATTTGGATTGATCAGGTGGGATATCTAAAGGGAAGAAATATAGGTGAAGCTATTCGGTTAATTGACGACATGATCTTTCATACAACTCAAAATAAAATACCTGCTTATTTGTTAGCGATAGATTTTGAAAAAGCGTTTGACTCGGTTTCACACATGTTTTTACAAAAGGTCTTAGTAGCCTTTGGTTTTGGACCGATATTTTGTAAATGGGTGAAAATAATTTATAATAAGGCTCAAAGTTGTGTTTTCAATGGACAAGTATCAACTGGATATTTTTCTATTCAGAAAGGTGTAAGACAAGGTGATCCTTTGTCTGCATATTTATTTTTACTTTGCATTGAGATTCTTGCTCGCGCAATCCGCAGCGACTCGGATATTCATGGGATTCCCTTTGATGATATTCACGTTAAACAAATTCTTTATGCAGATGACATGTCGGTGTTTGTTCAAGATATTGAATCTTTTAATAGACTAAACTCATTGTTTACTAGTTTTGCAGATATGTCTGGATTGAAGATGAATAGAGACAAAACCTTTGTATTATTGTTGGGTCCTAACGCGGATAAAGATGTAATAGTTCCATTAGGTAAGATAGTAAACATTGTAAAGATATTAGGTATACAGTTTACGTTAGACGTGGAAAGCCAGGAAAAAATCAATTACAAAGAAATCTTAAGTAAAATTAAAAAGCTGCTTATGTGGTGGAAACAAAGAGATTTGACTTTGATGGGGAAAATTCAACTAATTAAGACTTTTGTTTTATCAAAATTAGTATATGTATCATCACTCACACCTGTACCGCCCGGTGGGCATTCCGTGAAATTGAAGTGTTAATATTTGATTTTTTATGGAATGGAAAAGATAAAATCAAAAGGAGTACTATGTTTTTAGATTACGATAAGGGAGGTCTTAAATTGACAGATTTTCAATTATTTATTCGAACACAAAGAATCATGTGGATGAAAAGACTTATAACAGGAGATTCAAATATGATTTGGAAACGTTATTTTAAATACCTGACTAGAAAATATGGCGGCCTCTTGATTTTTTTCAGTAATGTATCGCCAGATTTACTTGCACTGTCATTACCAGATTTTTACCGTAGCATGCTGGAGGCTTGGCTGGGGACAAAAGCCTTTTTGCTTAAGAACGAAATTTCAAAAAGAAATCAAATTATTTACAATAATAGATGTATCCGCATTCAGGGGCAAATATGTTTCCATGAAGACTTATTTCTGAAAAATGTTTTTAAAATACATCATATTGTTGATAAGAAAGGTGAATTGAAATCTATCACAGAATTTAAGAAAATGGGTTTAAACAACATTGAAATAAATATAATAAAACAGTTATATGAAGGCATTCCATTCTCATGGAAAACTCTTTTGAATATATATGAACATCCTTGTGAGGATACTGAATTAAGTTTAGAATTCATTATTAACGGAAACCCTCACTCTTTGCAAGGCATAACATCAAAATATATCTATAGTACATTGTTAAAAATGAGAACGGAAAAATCTTATGCTACATGCAACTTAGAACGTACGTACAATATGGTCGAAAATGACACGAGAACAATTTTCTTAAGACCCCGAAAATCCACTATAGACAGAAAGCTGAGGGAATTTCAATATAAAATGTTATATAATTTAATTTATACAAATAAGCATCTGTACACTTTCAAACAAGTAGTGAGCAATCTTTGCTCCTTTTGCAATAAACACGAAGAAACCTATGAGCATCTGTTTTTTACCTGTGAAAAGGTAGCAAATATTTGGAAGGACTGCGGTGACCTTTTTTCTTTATCAGCATTAAAAAATCTACATTGGCAAGAAATTCATATCGGGATAAAAAGATCCAATGTAGGAGAAGAACAACTGTTAAATCACATTATTCTTTTAACAAAACATATGATTTTTAAATATAGTTCAACTCAAAATAGACCCCCAATTCCTCAAGAAATTAAAAAAAGAATAATAGAAAATAGGCAAGAAGAAAAGGAATTAGCGGGGGAGAGAGGCACTTTAACACTTCACTTCAGAAAATGGGACAACTTCCACAGTTAAGGACGGCGAGGCAAATACTTCTTTTTCAGACTCAGACATTTTTTGTTTGTTTAAATATATACTTTGGTCTTAAGGAAAAGGAAGAGACAGGATTTCCAACAAATGTGTAGATGTGAATGCTTGGGCAGGGAGGGGGGAATTTGTTAAGCTTTGGAATGAAGGGGGGAAGGGGGATATGTCAGTTTGTATGTGTGTCTGAGTATGTGAGCGTGTGTGGTGTGTCTGTCTGTCTGTAGGTAACTCTTTGATTTATAATATTCGTTCAGTGTAATTAAATGTAAACATTATGTACTGTGTATTAAACTATCTTATGTATTTTTGGAGAAATGTACAATTTTCTTTATATTTTGATATTATGTAAATCAATGAAGCTGTAATTTTGTTTGTTATATATTTTGTACTGAATGAATACAATAAAACAATACTACAAAAAAAAAAAAAAAATCTGCAAGGTTCTGGAATCATCAAAATGATAAGAAATTAGGCCCATTCATACAAGCGCTTGGACACAAAAAGATGTATATGGGACTACCCGTTATCTCTCACAAACCATGACAGAAACAAATTTACCAAATATATGAATTAGTAGGCGGTTTCCCGGCAAATTTTTTATCATCATGTATTAGTCAAAACAAATTCTTTCACATGATCGGTAATGAGAGCTTCCATTTCATTTTTTGAAATCATGGGGCGTTATTTCCAATACTGGTCTTTACCTTTAACCAAGATCTCCTTAAATTGAGAATTCTGGTTTCTGTAATAGATGCCCCAGTGAAATAGAGACTGTAAAACATTTTTTAGTACATTGCCCTAACTATATTATACTCTCTTTAAAAAAAAGAGTGAATTTTCAGAATCACGGACGTCACTCCTCTGGAGAGTGAAAATGTAGTGAAAATAGAGTCAACATTTTTAGTCTTTTCTTCTTAGAGAGCACTCTAAAATCAATCGATTTTCACTCCTAAACAAGTGATCACGGACGTCACTCCCAAGAAAGTGAAAATAGAGTGAAAATTCACTCTCTTTTTTTAAGAGAGTAGAAAGGGCTATGTTTTTAACAGAAATAAACGAATCCCAACCGGAAAAAATTATGGAATACTTAAAAAAGAGTGAATCCAGTATACAAAAAGCTGTAGAACGGTTCGTTCACAGAACGAAACGGTTCCCTATCAAGAAGTAATTCCCTTGATGAACAGTAAAACATAGGCCCTAATACAATACTATAAATATGCTAAATTACACTACTACATTAAAAATATATTAACATAATGTAATAAGAAAATAAAATAAGAAAAAGTAACAACAATGATAAATGGTATGATAAGATTATTGAATATAGTCTACTAAAAGGCTTATGTAGGTAATATCTTATACATATTTATGTATGGTGTGTATGTGATATAACAAATAATCTGCACGTACTGTTAAGAAACACTAACAAAGCCCATGAATGTTTTGCTTACGATATTATTTTTCGATACTATCTTAAAAGATAGATAAATATAAAACGAAATAAATATATTTTTCAAAAATACAAAAATGAGAGATATAACACGTGACTAATCGCTATTAAACCAAAACACAACAACAACAACATCTTCACTGAAAATCCACACAACCTTTCAAAATGAAGTCCAGATTTACGACGATTGACCTCCGGGCAATACTTTACGAGATTGGATCCAAGTAAATATCAAACAGACCCTTCTGATATTATTTTGAAAAGTGGATCTGGCTTTTCGTGTATCTAGTCTAACAATTTAACAGTCGCGGTATTGCGCTTGCCACGCGTGGCTTCGGGTTCAGGTTCGCCCTCGGCCCTCCCGGCCGCCCGCCGCCGAGGACGAGGTGGAGCTGAGCTCCCAAAAATTGTGGTCCCGTATGCTATTATTTGTGTGATATTATTATTTGTTGTTGTTGTTATTGTTATTGTTATTTTTCCAGTCGAAGTTGTATTATCCACAAGTTTCATTATAGACTAATAACATTTTCACAAATAATGTCAATGCAAACAAACAAAAATTGAAAATTCATGCATGCAAACACTGCACTGCCACTAGCTAGATCTAACTTACATGATGGCGCTTGTTCAGAAACGTATCAACAATTTGACCCGTAATTTTGACCCGTAACTCCGGCGTGGAGATACCCTACTAAAACATACCCAAAATGAAGTAAATATTCATTAAATGTCCAAATAAAGATCATGAGTTAAAATCTGATATATTTATTACCTGTTTGTTTCGCGTCAATTTTCTTGTTATTTTTGGAGTATTTTTCGGAAGAACATTGATAATTAGTATACACTTTTCACAAGTTTCACTGCAAACCGCTGCACAATACAAGTGCATACCGATGATGGGTTGCGGGCGGGCGCGAGCCTGTGTGAAGTTATCTACTGTACTGAGGATCTGAGACATTACGGTAGATAACTAGTTCTACGTGTCATGACATGAGTCACAATTTTTGACATCAACATTCATGATTCATCATGTTCAGTTTTGAGATGGAGACTCGTTTAAGAGGTTCTACAAAGTGTTCTACGATGCAATGCTACCTTTAAATTTGAACCCTCTCTTGCCCTTGTCAGGTCAGATTCTGCCCCTATTTTATATCTTATCTGTTGCTCTAGGACTAGGACAGTGAGAATTTAGGCTCACATGTATGCAAAATTATTGAATTGGTTGCACTCTTCCATTTCTTTTTCATCATTCAGATTGCTTGGACTTCGTGTACTTAATGTCTATGATGTCAACAACAAAACCTACTTGATTCGACTTGGAGGGTAAGTGCGTCAACTAAATTGTAGATACTATAAAACAATCAAATATATACAATTTTTGGCAGACCAGCCAACATGTTCCAATTTGAAATTCTGTTGAATTGAATATTATTACAATTAGTTTCTTCCTCTTTGTATTAATTTAGTATGTTATGGATTTTTCCAGGACTGACCAGAAAGTTGTCCTGCTCTTCGAGTCTGGAACTCGCATGCACACCACTTCGTTTGATTGGCCCAAGAGTCAGATGCCATCAAACTTTTCCATGAAGTTGAGGAAACACTTGAAGTCTAGACGTTTAACGGAGATCAAGCAGCTAGGTGTTGACAGAGTTGTAGACTTGCAGTTTGGCTCTGATGAGGCTGCTTATCATGTTATTGTTGAGCTCTATGACAGGGTATGCTAAAGCTACATTCTGTCTTGAGTTGAGGACATTATAATTTATAAGCCATACATTTTTTGGTCTTATTTATCATACCGGAGATAATATTTCTGTAAGATTTTTTTTCTAAACATGTTCCTGTAGGTTTCTTCAATCTGTAATACCAGTATTACAGTCTATAGATTATGTAATGGCTGATGCTTTCCAATTCTTCTAATCAGTGGTAAACAAGACATTCCTGAAAAAGGGTTATGAGTATTTGCAAATGTATTTGATAAAAATAGTGAAGATTGCAGCTATTGAAAAGCAAGATCCAATGATCCATAAAATGTGCAGTGACAAGAATGAAGGCTTATGAAATGTTACAAGTACATACAACATGGAGAGGAGATTTGAGTAGGGTGAGGTAAAAGTGAAAGCCATGCAAGTCTACATGTACATGCTGACGCTGTGCTATAATGAATAGATAAAAAGATTTTTTTTCTGGAGAAGGAGTTGATGTCATTTTACTTCTACTCATACAGGGAAACGTTGCATTGACAGATCATGAGTACACTATCTTGACTCTTCTGAGGACACGTAAAGACAGTGAGGATGTCAGGTTTGCAGTCAGAGAGAGATATCCCGTAGACACAGCCAGACATCCAGACGCTATTCCATCATTAGAGAGGTAAGAGAACTAGAACAGGTACAAGGTTGTCCAACAGAGGATCGTAGTGGGATACATTCGTTTGTGACAGGCTCACATGGATCACAGTTGAGAGGTTGGTGAATGTGGAAGAGAATTTGTTTATTTAGGACATGAACATACAGACACTAATGATGATGATGAGGAGGAGTAGGAGGAGGAGGGTGCAAGGTAGCTGTTGTTAGTATAAATTGATTTTGCCATTGTTTAGAATTAGAGAAAGGCAATTGTTGAATTAATGAAAAAAGCTAGCTCCATTTACTTCTCTCCTCAACAAGCAACTGACAAAAAAAAAATTGTTCTACATTTTTGTAGAAGACCTTTTACAGTACTTTCTATTTAATGTGTTTGCTATGTATTTCATTCTTCATTCTATTCCTTTTTCTTTCCTCCCTTCTCTCTCTATTTCCTTTATTTCTCATTTTGTATTCTACCTCAGGATACAAGAGATCTTGGCTGCAGGGAAACCAGGAGATAACATCAGAAAACTACTCAACCCTCATTTTAGTAAGTCTTTATATGTCCTGCACTTTTTAAGACATTCCATTCAATATGAAGTAACAATAATTTTTTAGTTTGGCTAAGATTCAGTAATATCTAACTTGAAAATGTTGACTTTTGATGTTGTGATATCAGCCATAGTAAAAAATAAGGGAATATCGAAATAAATTATGACAGATTCTAAACTTACGAGCAATATTCTTGAGCAGATTGTTAACAAAACATAGTAGTACAGCCACCCCAAAACATTCATTTTATGGGTTTTGTTTTTTAAATTGTACATAATGAAGGAACTGTAATAAATTATGCATGATAACCTTCATGATTAAGGAAGCTTTCAATCCAGTAGATTGGCTGATAAATAATAATGATAATATTAATAATAATAATAACAATCATATAAGACATTTGTAAGGCATCGGATCCACTTTAAAAAAAATGTTATTGTTTGTTGTAAGTATGTGCCATTAATTCATTTTTTCTCATTTCTACAGTCTATGGACCTGCCTTAATTGAGCATTGCCTTCTGAACCAAGGATTCCCTTCAAATGCAAAAGGAAACAATGGATTCGACATTCAACAAGGTAAATTAAATACATCTTATTTTAACTCTTGTTCACACCAAGGATATTTAAAATGTTAAACTCCCAAAATTAATGCTTGTCCAAAAGGACAGAGACATTCCCCCAAAGTAAACAAAAGAAAAAAAGTATAAAAGAAAAAAGAAATGAAGAAGATCAACAAACAAAACAATTTGATGCCAGAATGGTAGCAACAAATATCAATATCTAACGCATGTAAATTAACTAGGACCAGTGATGAACTTCTTTTATTTTATTTTGCAGTTCACAGTTTATGTTGGTATTGAGATCCAATGATTGCAATGTATTTTAACCCTCAAATAAAATTCTTATTTTAAAAAGATGTTATTCTTGTTACTAATGCAGATATGTCCCGAGTGATGACATCGTTGTCAGAAGGAGAGCAGTATGTGGAGAAATCAGGATCAGAATGCAAGGCAAGATAACTTTCTGTATTGTGTTCAATTTATGTTTGATTATGGCTTTTAAATGATTCTGTGGCCATATGGTAGAATCCAAATATTTAGTATACTGCAGGAAAGCAGATTTATGTGATATAGTTGTATTTAAAGTCTCTTATGCCTACATTTAAAAAAAGAAAACGTTCATAGAGGTTAGGTAGTTTTTCTGTCAGCTCTAAAATTTTGCCTAAATATTGTACAACCACACTCTTACATATTATCTACTGGTTTTGTCAGGGTTTCTTCAATCTGGAAAGGGGAAAATTTAAGACCAATATATTTACCATTGGCCTTCATATATTAAAATAAACCTTAGTGTTGCCCCGAAAGTTATTTACTTCATAATTGAAATTCTCATGAATAAGGTTGTTTTATACTTATTAAAATGATGTTTAATTGGCATTTAGAGAGTGTCCTTTCTCTTCCTCTCCCCCTCTCTCCCCTCCCCCTCTTTCTCTCTCCCCTCCCCCTCTTTCTCTCTCTCTCTCTCTCTCTCTCTCTCTCTCACTCTTGGCTTAAATACAGCCTTCATATCTCTGTATAGAATATTAACCTTTGTGATTATGTCTATTTCTAACTTAATATCCCCAGGGTTATATCGTTCAGAAGAGAGAAAAGAAGCCAGCAGCATCGCAAGATGGTGAAGATGCAGAGCTATTGACGTAAGTGTTCCATTCATCACAGAAACAAACAAAGTGATCTGCTCTTAAGTAAAACAATCAACAATCAAAGACATGAATGTAGTGAATTTATTTTGTACACAAATGTCATAGACTAAATTATCTGTGACAAAATTAAGCATAGAACAAATCTGGGATCACTTTTAACTTCTTAAGATTTTCAAATTGTAAGATAGGGTATTTTTTCCCATACTTCCCAACATTTTGCATATCAATGTAACTCTCATACCAATATTCATATATCTAACAGCATGTATTCTCATCTAGTATAAAGTAACCAATTAGTAGAAAATGAACAGTTTAAGCTAAAAATCCATATTGAGATATGAATATATTATTATTCTTTCAGGTACACTGAGTTTCACCCATTTCTCTTCAAACAACATGAGTCCCAACCATACCTAGAATTTGACACTTTTGATCAGGTAAGACAGTGACTGTTTTGTTGAAGGCCATATTCCTAATGGTTTTACAAAGCAATAGCTATTATGACTTTGTGTAGAATGCTGAAAACTGAAGTAATAGATATTATATGCGCTCTTGACTTCTCAGTAGGGGGGTTATATACAAGTAGCTGTAATGTTTATACAAAAAAAAATGATTATGCCGGTTAGCTTACTGTCTATTTGGTGAGCTTGTAGATGTAAATTATCTCAGTTACCAATAAAAATGTGTTTGTACGACAGTGTCTATTCTGACGATGATGTTTCCCATAACAATGAATTTGATTTTGTTTCACCCCCCCCCCCCTTCCTCCAGAATAAAAGAGCTAGATAGTGTATTTAAAGGGAGTTAGACCTTGAATGTTTTGGCAGGGTTTTTTTTAATCAGATTTAGAGCACCCTTGTTATTGTGCCAGTAAAGTAGGAAATAAGAGAGGAAGTTGTTAGGTTGGCAAGTTGCCAATCCTTTGGTATTTGCCATGTATTTTTAAAAATGAACCAGTGGAAAAGGTTGAGGTGGACAACACAGAATTTATCCAGGTCAGCTTAGTCATTTCCTCATCATTTGGTGAGTTGCACCGTTGCACCATCATGTGTAAAATAAAAATTGTTTGATCAAACACAGTAACATGCATTAAATTACTCTTCTTTCACTAAATCATTCCTTTGGTTAGATTGACCATCACGTTCATGAGGTTTGCCATTCATTAATATCAGGGCCCTCTTTCATAAAACCAGATGTCAATTCAATATGTTTTATTGTGGCAGGTTTGATTCATAAGAAGTTTTATGAAAACAGGGCCCTGGTTCACTATTGTTCCAAGACTGTATATGCATATACATGTATATCAACAGCAACGGCAGCATACACTTTCAAAAAGTGCAGCTTGGATAACAATATTACTGAAGAAGTTTAAATGATGTTTATTTGGAAACCTCTGTTCTAGGCTGCGGATGAATTCTTCTCAAAAATGGAAAGTCAGAAGTTGGACATGAAGGTTATTCAACAGGTAAATATGACAGTTAACATAGTTTTATGAATGTGCATACTTCTGTTTTTGACCCTATGAACCTTTATTTTGGGGGGTATGGGTAGTTTATATTGATGAAATAAGTTTGTTATTGAGTCTCTGTACCATTGCCAGCAAGCTCTCCTGTGGCATGTGCATGTCAGCAGCCTGTATTAATAATAATATACCGTTCTTGTATAGCTCATATAACGTCCCCATGCGCTTTCAAAGAACTTTTGATATGTTTACATCTTTATGTACTGGTATGTGTAAAGGGGGCACCCTAGAGATTGCATAATGAATGAATGTGCCGCACTTCATCCCAGTGGACATGCTAGACCTTGCCCTCATCAACAATCAAGTAAACGTGTGGCTAGTTGGCTACAACAACAAGATCAAATTGCTTGATTCTTTTGCTCCCATGTGTGAAAGAAAGAGACCATCTACCTGTCTTTGAAAAACATTGAAAATAGTGAAAACATGCTGATGTATTATTGTTGCTTTCTGCAATTCCTGATAAACAAGAATTGTTTTCTTTTTTTCTCCTTGTTAAAGGAAAGAGGTGCACTAAAGAAGCTGGACAATGTGAAGAAGGATCATGAAAAGAGGATAAGTTCACTTCAACAAAATCAGGTAAAGATTTGTATTTATATATGTTTTGGATTTGAAATATTTAAAACTGCATGAACAGTCGTAAGTGTGACAATTTTTAATTTCTCCTTAAGACGTATTTATCAATATTATATGCTGAGACCATCTTGCATTTTCTTGCATTATTCTTATGTTTCTTAGTGGAAAACAAATCTTAACTATACATGGGCGTATAATGTAAACTTATTTGTACAATTTATATGATCATGAAAATATGAATTGTTTATATGAGATTTCTTACAAAGTAAGTGATCTCATAGATTAAAAGATTCCCCAAATATTATGGATTATACCCTAAACAAAATATTGTAAAATGGATGCTGTAAAATGAAAGTCTTTGATCGGATGATGGTGGCAGTCTCATCTGTAGTAAATTAAAAATTTTGGTCTCCCTTGACTGTTTTGCTTTTTTGGTTTCAAATCTTTGATAGTTATTGTATATTGTTGTTTTCAGGGTTTTAGTCAATAAAATATGAATTGGAACGAGAAAATCATACTGTAAGTGGGGGGGGGGGGATATGATATAATAAAATGTTTAATCTCTAGAAACTAAAAATGATTATTTGTTATGTCTTTGACAGGAACTAAATGAAAAGAAAGGGGCTCTGATTGAAATCAATCTCCCACTGGTAAGTATAGTGAAAACAATTATTTGCTTGTGATAACAATTCTGTTGAGTACGGTATACTTTTACAAGAATATACAGATTTTGATACAGCTCTTGGGTAACTATTGCCTTAAAATATAGCCTCAAAATATGGTTTGTTAGCAAATTGTTTTGTACACTAATAAACACAAATGATTTTCCAGTTAATGGACAGTGAATTTATATAATACCTTTGAGACAAATTTAAGATTGCATTATTGTATCCATATTCCTTTACCTTTACTGTTAATTAGCGTGGATCAGGAATGATCAGCTACATTGTTCTGTGACTTCAGTTCCATAGAATCAATAAACACTTTTTTGTAATATAATGTTTGATTTTTCTAAAAACTCCCTGAATTTTTTAAAATAATTTGTTTAGACTGATTAAAATGTAATCATTAGTAAATTATTTCTTGGAGTCTTTCTCTAAGCCTTTCATCATCATCATGTATACAGGAGCGTAGGATATCTTGTAGGTCTCTCGGTCAGATCACTTGGTACATTAGTACATTCTCTTTATTGATCGCTTCATTTGTACAGAATTGTGAAATATGGGTGATATTTTGTTGGAGAGTTATTAAAGCAAGTTTTTGTCTGTCTATGTATGAATAGGTAGAGCAGGCTCTTCGAGTGGTTCGTAGTGCTGTAGCCAACCAGATAGACTGGAAGGAGATTGATAGTATCATCAAGGAGGCTCAAACACAGGGTGACCCTGTAGCGTTAGCCATCAAAAGCTTGAGACTGGACACTAACCATTTCCAGATGCTTCTCAGGTCAGTCACTCAACCAGTCATGCAGCGTTTGCTCTGGTCTTTGATTGATCATAGAGTTAGAGTTGGAACTTGCGGTTTTAGATTATTTACGTTTGGTATTTAGATAATAGTGGTAAATGACCGTGTAAGATTGTCACTGCAGCATGTGTTGTAGAACCCACAGACACACCTTCAGAGATGTAAATTTTGAAGAAAATATGTCCTCTAGTTCCCAGACTTAGAATATCAAGAAGAAGGAATAATTACTCATAAATCATGGCAAATACGGAATTTAAAATTGTGAAAAGTGACATCAACAAGAATGTGTAATACCTATGTGTAATAATAGGAATTTGAAACACTGACCAAGAACGTTGAATTTTGTGACACATTGTAGAGCAAGCACCGTGAGTGTCCATCAGAGGCTTACACCGGCACTATACAAGAAACCTTTATCGTCGTTAACTTTTTATTATGCCTCCGCCACCGACGGTGGTGCCGGAGGCATCATGTTTTCGGGTTGTCCGTCCCGTTTGACCGTTATCACAATATCTCAAGAACCATTTAAGATTTAAACTTAAGACTCGGGAAATGTATTTATCACCATAGGAAGACGATCTGATTAGATTTTGGAGTACGTAGGTCAAAGGTCACAGGTCACAGAGGTCAACTTATGAAATTCCTTGTATTGAGTTTGTTAGCGCGATATCTCAAGAACCATTTGAGATTTAAACTTCAAACTTAAGGATAGTATGTATCACCATAGGAAGACGATCTGATTAGATTTTGGAGCACGTATGTCAAAGGTCAAGGGTCACAGAGGTCAACTTATGAAATTCCATACATTGAGATTGTTATCATGATATCTCAAGAACCACTGGAGATTTAAACTTCAAACTTAGTGATAGTGTGTATCACTATAGGAAAACAATCTGATTACATTTTGGAGCACGTAGGTCAAAGGTCAAGGGTCATAGAGGTCAACTTATGAAATTCCATACATTGAGATTGTTATCATGATATCTCAAGAACCACTGGAGATGTAAAAACTTCAAATTTAAGGATAGTATGTATCACCATAGGAAGACGATCTGATTAGATTTTGGAGCACGTAGGTCAAAGGTCAAGGGTCACAGAGGTCAACTTATGAAATTCCATACATTGAGATTGTTATCATAATATCTCAAGAACCACTGGAGATTTAAACTTCAAACTTAATGATAGTGTGTATCACCATAGGAAGACAATCTGATTAGATTTTGGAGCACGTAGGTCAAAGGTCAAGGGTCACAGAGGTCAACTTATGAAATTCCATACATTGAGATCGTTATCGCGATATCTCAAGAACCACTGGAGAATTTTCACTTCAAACTTAATGATAGTATGTATCACCATATCATAATATCTCAAGAACCACTGGAGATTTAAACTTCAAACTTAATGATAGTGTGTATCACCATAGGAAGACAATCTGATTAGATTTTGGAGCACGTAGGTCAAAGGTCAAGGGTCACAGAGGTCAACTTATGAAATTCCATACATTGAGATTGTTATCATGATATCTCAAGAACCACTGGAGATTTAAACTCCAAACTTGTTTAATTTCTTCTTGCAATAGTTGCTCAAAGGTTGTGATGACTATCAATGTATTTAATTAATTTTCACCTCTGATATCATCATATGCCAACACATATGTGATGTATGTATGAATGCAGTTTATTTTGAATGTTTGATATAAACAGGGATCCTTACAAACAGTATGATGATGCTGATGAAGGGGAGGAGGATGTAGCTCGACCAATGTTAGTAGACATTGATATCGCCCAGTCAGCATATGCCAATGCTAGAAAGTAAGTTGATATGTGATCCTCTGAAGTGAGTTCACCCTTCTCAAACTGTGTCAGGGATTCAGTATGATTTGTATTTACCCAATATATAACCCTAAAGGTAATAAAAGAGTAAATGTCCCGGCCCCCCACTTCGTAAATGGAGGGATACCATGCATGTTCCCAAAATGTCCGGTAAAGGGGTACTTTTTTAGCACCAAAGTTCGGCTCGTAGTACACAAAAATCCGGCCCGTATTGACTTTACACACCGGACCTAGAGGGGTGTTTTCAAAAGGAGGGAACATGCATATGCATACCCTAAATAACACTGAGTGGGGGGTGGGGGCCGGGGTAAATGTTCTGGGATATGTAAACAGGCACTAATAACTCTTTCACTGAAATACATTTTTGTGAACAAAATATTGTGTGAATCAACTTCTGTGAAGGATGTAGTCACTATCTTATGAAGAAAATTGATTTCTTGTATAAGCATAACTCAGTCCTTATTCATACAAGTATGAATAAAGGCTAGCAGTTCGGAAGTGACACTTACGGACAGCCTGCCTTACTGAATATTAGTAGGAACATTTAGATTATTTTAAAATTATTGAGTGGTGGGCTTAGTAAGGTTTGGAACACTAACGCATTTCATGTTGGAACCTGATGGATCCTGTATTAAGCTCTGGGAAATCAGAAAATTTAATAGTCAATGGGTTGTTCAATGGCACTTTGTAAACAAATTATTATAGTCATCATTTATCTGGTAGTTACAATCATACCAAACTACATGAATAATAGTTTTGAATTTCAGGTTCTTCTTTTGTAGTAAAGCTGTAGGTATTCACTGCATTGATCAGATTGCACTCATTAAGGAATAGCCTAGGTCTCGACACTAATTCGATTTGGCCACAAATTTTACTCTGGAAATTCAAAATGTAAAAAGAAATGCAACCAGTGCCTTGTTGTATACAATTCCTAAATCTTGTGTTTGGCATCCTATGAGGATTCAAGGTCAATGTAGAGACATGGATGACATGTTGTTGATGATGATCTTTATTGTTTCATTGTATCTAGGTACTTTGTTCAGAAGAAGACATCTCAGAAGAAAGAACAGAAGACAATGGAATCATCATCTAAGGTGCAAACATTTCTCTCCTAAGATGATTCGTTTGCACTGAATCCATGTGGGGGTAGTCTTCAGAAGAACTTTTGGTTATTCTCTCATGGAAGGGAACCAGTTCTGGACTTTTTTGGTCTTCTTTCAAAGCTCTATCCAAAAGCCCCCAAAATGGTCATCAGTTTAAACTATGACAAATAAACTTTAAATTGCTGAATGAATTTTGTTGATGGTTTTTATAATATCAATCGTATTTTGTAATTTGATCTTACAGACGAAATTGCAATAATATTTTTTTTGGGAAATTGGATATGTATTAAATAAAACATGTATTATATTTTCAAAGTAATATGCAGCTTTGATAGGTACATGAAACCAGAAGGGATGCCCATTTTTCCACTGTTAGAAGTACATTCTACTCCAAAGCTCACCATATGTGAGTACCATGTTGTAAGCATATGTAAATATTGAGAATAAACTTTATATATGATAATAAACTATATATCTCTGAGAACTTTGTTTATATTTTCTCTTGACAGGCTATCAAGTCTGCAGAGAAAAAGACAATGCAAGCTTTGAAGGATGTAGCTACAGTAGCAAGTATCAACAAATCTAGGAAGACATATTGGTAAGATATCATTTGACGCTGATTTAGGGATGTGTAGTATTTTGTCCATGCTGTGCTTATCTTTAAAAAGAATGCTAAAAGAGATCAATACTGTATGTAGATTGAAATGATTAGTCAATGAGATGAAAATGTTAGATTACCCTAATTTTTGTTATACTCATATGATTCCGTGGTATGAATTCCAGTGTGTTATTTTTTATACATCGTCCTGTCTGTATGTTTGCTTATTTCATGTATAAATCATTATCATTGATAATTGTTTTCAATCCAATGAAATTTGATGATTTTGTCATTTATTTCAAGCAGTCACGTCATAAATTGTGTGTAATAAGTATTGCAAATGAAATGTTTTTGTTTTAACTGTCTGCCATTTAGTCTTTGAGGTACTATATTTGTTGTGATAAATAAAAGGTAAATTCATTCACTTGTGATTTCCATTCTTTGTTTCCTGAGCAGGTTTGAGAAGTACTACTGGTGTATCAGCTCAGAGAATTACATCATCATTGCTGGACGAGATCAACAGCAGAATGAGATAGTTGTCAAGAAATATCTCTCTCCAGGTAAACAACTGCTTTATCTACAAATAACTTAACCTCATATTTTGCCTTAATAGTTTATTTATGTATATATACTTTTGATACACTTGAATTTCTTACCAACAAGACAGGTGAAGGTCCCTTGAAATATGAAGGGAATTTGTAAGAATGAAGATAAATGAATGGAATGACAAGTTGTAATGCATCTCTGTCTGTGGTTCTCTGGAACTCTGTGTATATTTGTCTCTTTCTCTCTCTCTCTTTTATCCCATCTCTCTCTCTCTCTTTCCATCTCTCTATCTCTCTCTCTCTTTCTCTCTGTGTGCAGGTGACATATATGTCCATGCTGACATTCATGGAGCTAGTAGTGTGATCATCAAAAATCCTAAAGGTGAGAGTGTATACCAATTCAATTTATTACTGGCCGTATCTAGTATGAAGAACCTTACTAAATGTAGGACAATGAAAAGATATTATATTGATACAAAATAGTTCATCTCTAATTTTGTTGAGGTAAAAAAGAGGTCTATCTATATTTCATATGATTTTTTTTTAGAGACAGAAATTGATATATTTTAATAAGTAAACAGCTGTGTGTACAATTATTAACTTAGAAGTACTTAAGTGTGCGATGTATGTACGTGCAAGAATTGCCAGCCCAGTGGCAGCCAAATGTCATATGCTTACTGTATTTCAACTTCATAATTCTTTTCACAAAAATTACACAGTACAGAAAGCCTCTAAGAAAAGCTATTTCATCTAGTGTTTATTTTGTCTCAATACCTTCAATGATATTTCATTATTCAAACTTATTTTGATGTTACTAGGAGGTCCTGTCCCTCCTAAGACTCTGCAAGAAGCAGGTACCATGGCCGTTTGTTACAGCGTTGCTTGGGATGCTAAGGTCATTACTAGTGCCTGGTGGGTACGTCATGACCAGGTCTCTAAGACTGCACCCACTGGCGAGTTCCTTACCACTGGAAGCTTCATGGTCAGAGGTAAGATGATGAGGTTTGCCTTCTTTTGCATAACTGAACATTGCCACTCATGTACAACAGATAAAGAAGAAGCTCACTGCATTGATTTAGGGAACGCTCATTTGTTCATTAAACCCACATGGTGCACCCGCAAGCCTACTGTATAAACCCACATCGTAATTTGCGGGTGGCCATGCTCTCAGCAGCAGTGAATAATATATCAAAGCCACATGCCATAATGATTGAATTACTAGATTGTTTAGGAAATTGTGATTTAAAGCTTTACCATGTTTTATATGTGTATTTTTACTGCAATCAATTGTTTTTTGAAGACTGCTTCATATTTTCCCCTTCTCAATTGCAGGTAAAAAGAACTTCCTTCCACCTACTCAACTTGTGATGGGTTTTGGATTCTTAATGAAGGTATGTCCAGATGCTCAGTTAGTTTCCAAACAGTGATGGCTTGTTTAATATTGATTTGAATGATTACTTGACTGCTAGGAAAGCATGTATTTGCTTGCAGATAAACAAAATGGGAAATCAATTCTGTAAGTCCTATCCAGGGGTCATGGTACTTGAGGATTTAGTGCCTTGCTAAGGACTCACTGTTTGGATTGTGCAAATTGGACATCCTTATTACAAGGCCGCACTGCTCTAGGCCACCATACATTTGTTTATCATAGGCAGGAGTTTCATTCCACACATGAACAAATAACATGTCTATTCCAAAAACAAACAAAATGTTAATAGTCTCTTTAAAATCTTCTCTTTATAGCAAATATATTCAGTATTGATATTGTTAGTGAGTGTATTCAGATATTGCTCTTTCTGTCATTTCTTGTAAGCCATTTGCTATGCATATCCTTTTGTCTGTCATGGCACATTTCAATAATGCTTATTTCATGTTCATGTTTTATCTCCTATTTTCAAACTTTAGATTGATGAAAGCTGTGCATGGAGACACAAAGATGAGAGGAGAATACGAGGTACAGATGAAGAGGATCTTACTTCTGTAGCTGACACAGTAGAGGTAAGGTACAATAGTCCTCAATTATAACGAGTTTCACTAGTTAAACCAGTCGTGAGGGATATCTGTAGATTCACTTTGACAATTGTCTAAGTATTTCTGTAATTTCTATATTTTGAATTTAATTGTTTCGTATCTATCACACAACAAAGCCTTTTGTCTAGCTACCATCTGAGTAAAATGAGCATAAACCCGATATCGAAAAAATTGCTGATACTCAAAATGAGTTCAAGATGAAGAGCTTTAATATGTTCGCATTTAAAGGAATTCTTTTGAAGTGTTAATAAATTCTTCAATGAATGGAATGTATAGAATTTCCTGAATGTTTCTACAATGTCAGTTCTGGATATTTTTCTTTGTGTCATTTGTTTTTATTTTACTTCTAATCTTTGTATCCCAGACTGATATAATTGTTGAGGACATTGAGGAGGATGATGATGAGGATGGAAGCACTGAGGCAGACATACAAGAGGATGCTGAAACAGGTGTGTTCATGATGCTCTAATGAATCTTGAAACAACAACATCATCATCAACAACACAACATGTTTCCAAAATTGCTTTAACCTAAAAGAGAAGATTATAATGTTGATGGATAATAATGAGATATGCAGGCCTTGTTACATGAAATATCTTGAGATTTTGTGGTTTTGTGGATAGACGTAAAAAGTTGTGTCAAAAAATGTTTTATGTATAAATATATATATATATATATATATATATATAGCATTTGTTGATGGATAAAACACATGAAAAGCTTGTAACACTTATTTTATAACTCATGGTTGACATTATCTCTCTCTCTCTCTCTCTCTCTCTCTCTGTCTCTGTCTCTCTCTCTCTATGTCCCTCCCTCCAACCCTCCATCCCACTCTTAAAGTGCATGATACATTTGTTTATTTAACTTTAAATCTTAGAGATCACACAAATTTCCCCCCTTAATTCTGAATGCATTTTAGATGAAACAGAAATCAAAGAGGAACAAGAAGATGACGATGAAGAGGTTGCGAATAAGGAGGAGGAGGAGGAGGTTGAGGAGCAGTCATCAGAGGTGAAGCAGGAGGTAGACGATGACAAGGAGAACTTCTACCCAGATACCACTATACAGCTGCATCATGTGCAGGGTGAAAGGTAAGGTTATATTGTGTATAGGTAAGAACAATGGAATCAAACAAAAATTGTTATTTTCAGTATCGCCCTCGTCAAACTGTCACTAAGCTTTACTTTTCAGTGAAGCTTCTTCCTCAAATATTGATCTGGACATTTTTGTAGGAAAATACTTTGTGTATGATCATTTTTAATTGTTGAAATGGAACATTGTAATAAATCCTCTCTACATTCTTTTTTGCAGAAGCATTTAGTAGTGATGGGCAAGTTTAATGAATTATGGTTATTATTAAAAGCATAATGGTACAATAAAGTAATCATTGCCTTCTGAACAAAGTAAGAGCAGGAGTAAAACTACATCATTAATCTTTCAATTTATTGACATTTGAGCACTAGTAAACAGATCAGTTTGAATGGATGAATGGTATCACTATTTTCAGATATGAGAGCCAGCGTAACCGTGGATCTAGTGTGATGAGTGCTGGTAGTTACCAGTCTGGTGATGGGGATATAGATGAAGACGGAAAAGCTATCATCTATCTAGGGGATGATGTACCTATTGTTCTTGGAGGACCAAAGATTAAGCCTCAGGTATATCAAGTATACTCTCTCTCTCTCTCTCTCATTCTCTCTTCCCTCTGTATGTCTGTCTGTCTCTCTCCGTCTCTCTTTCGCACTCTATTTGACAAAAGCAACACGAAAAGTAATTAGACATCATTACAAATATTTTAATTAAATAAGTATTTACCCACATTTTTACAACAGTATTGAGCCTGGCTGAGGAAAAAAAAAAAATTTCTAGGCTTCTTTGGCCTTAGAAAAGGTATAATTGTGAATTTTATATGAGACTAAATGAAATACTCTTTTAGTAAAACATATTCACCGTAATAGAAGAATATTTTTGATAACTATACACTTTTTCTTCAAATGAATGATGAGAGTTGTGAAAAAAATTAAAATAATTGATAATTTTTCAAATGCAAAACCTTTTATCAAGATGATATGATGATGATGATAATTTCTAATAAAATAATTATAAATGTGTTTCTTACTTTCTATATTTACAGCATAAAGCAAATCCCAAATTGACTGCCAAGCAAAAGAGGTATGTACTTTCTTACTTGGACTACCACTCTTTTCCATTCTTTATATTCACCTGTTCACTATTTGTATATGACTATATTTAACATTTTATATTGTAATCAGTTTTTTTGTTTTGTAACACTTGAATAAAAACCAGCAACTTTATACGTGTATGTTTAACTCTTGACTGCTTAGTCAATTTTTGTTATGCATACAGTGTATATTTACCATAATAATAATAATAGACCATTCATCTATAGTGCATATCACAAAAATAAATTTAAGTCCCTACGCGCTCAGAAAAATGAAAAGAAGGGATAATAGACATGAGGGAAGAGAAAAGAAAGAATAACTGCTTTGTCATAACATTGCCCTAATTTAACAAATAAACAAATATGTATACATATGTGTGTACTTCAAACGATGTGGCAGCCTGAGGTGTTGATAAATGGCAAGTAAGTAGTATGTGGTGATAATTAAAAGTACTATTTGTTGTAAAATGGTGCAAATTGGAAACATTGCAGCTTGAAATCATTACAAGCACATGGCATATAAGATACTATGTGATCCCTTTTATTTCTGTCCTTAAATATTTAAAGAGACCTCAAGAAACAGAAGAAAAGAGAAGAGGGGCCTGCCCCCGACGGACCAGATGAAAGCACACCTGACACTGGTAGGAGAGATGAGGAAGAGAATAGCCAGGAGGAAGGAGAGGAGAAGAATGAGAGGGTAGCAGAAGTGGAGGATGATGAAGAGGAAGAGGAAAAGACAGAAGAACAGAATTCAGGAGCACCTTCTGTCTCAAGAAGTGTCTCACAATCCAGTAGTGTAAGTATTGACCTTTCCCCCCTCCAAACAAAATCATTTTTCTCCGGTCAGTTCTCGTAACATCCAACAGACTGATTTGGTAAGTTTGTTGTCGCACATACAAAATCTATAGGAGGTAATACTGGAAATAATGTAGCAGTCTAGGGGTATTGTTTCTGGTAATTAGAGAAAGAAGAGTTTTTAAAAAATTGCAACGTGTTAGTTAGGCCTGCTTCTCTTGTAAAGACTGATCAGATATGGTGCTAAATGAGCACATTTTCCTTTTTACTGGCTCTTAACTTTGGGGCTGTGACCTCCATTCATATGTTTGGGGGACGGGGTGAGAGGGGGTAATGAATTGATCATATATGTATATGAAAAATATTCTATTTGAATTCATGTATTGCTGAATTACCTAGCATTAAAACACTAAATGTGGATTGTCAGATGGGACCTAAATAAATAAATAGAATCAATGCTTCAGCATGTGATATAGGTTTGGCTGTCTCTTTCGTAATATTTCACATATAAATTATAATTATCTACTTTACTTTGCGCTTTAGAATACAACTACCGTGATTGTGTTACATTAATTGATGTTAGACATGTTTTATCCTGATTTTGTGTCTCATATTGATAGGAAAGTTTGTACCATGAGATTATCTTTTAATAAACATAATTGCTCTTTGTCTCCTTTGTAAAATACAGAATACAAACCTACCACCGGCCAAAAGAGGACAAAAGGTAATGGATTCAATTCAGTTACCTAATTGTAGCGGAAGTTTTTATGGTTGTGTTGAAATATGTCTAGTCACAATGGTCCTCGTAGTATATATGTTGTCCAGTATCCTTCAATTTACGTCCTTCCTTTCTCCAGTCCCTCTCTCTTTACTCTCTCTCACACAGTCTGTCATAACCCCTTTCTCCCTCACTCTGACTCGTGCCTACACACTGATAACTCCTATTTGCACTAATAGAAACAGTTTGTTATGTACATTGTCAGTCTGCTATCTTAATTTCCTTTTTCTCACTTCTTGTCTGTCATACACTTCCTAACGAACTTGTTTGGAAGATTATAGCCTCGAACATTCGGTACAAGTTTTTTTCTTTTATTTGGATTTTTTTTTTTTTTATCCTTAACAGCAGCCTAACTAGAACTGAGGAATACTTGATTAGAAATCTGCATGTTATAATCTCTCTGTTTTAATTTCAGCACAAACAGAAGAAGATCAAACAGAAGTATAAAGATCAGGACGAGGAGGAGAGGAGGCTAAAGATGGAAATCTTGGCAGTAAGTACAGTCAATCATACACTTTCTAATGGTTGCTATGAATGGACCTGAATGTTATCCTGTGCTTATCATTGTAGATTGAAGATGGTGTATCTAATGTAAAGTGTTAGACTACAGAACATCTAAGAAGACGAAGGGTTATTACTCTGTCTGTGTGTATATCTCCGTCTTCTTATTTCTCTTAATTTGTTTGAATAAATACATCTCCCCTCTATCTCTATGTCTCTCTTTCTGTTTCCTACCCTCCCCCTCTTCTCCTTTCACCCCCCCCCCACCTCTCTCTCTCTCTCTCTTTCTCTCTATTACCCGCCCTTCCTCTCCACCCCTGTCTTCACCACTTTCCACCTCTGCTCTGTCTATATATCTCTTTTTTTCTATATCTCTCTGTCTCTTTCCACATCTCTGTCTCTTTCTATGTTTCTGTCTCTCTTATTTTTCTCTACCACTCTCTCACCCTCTCTCACTCTCTCAGTCTGCAGGTAATTCTAAAGAGATCAAGGGGAAGAAAGGTAGGAAGGCCAAGCGACAAGAGGAACAACTCCAACAAGCGCATCAAAAACATCTACAAGCACAAAATAAGAACTCAAAACAAAATGAACAACCAAAGCAACAAAGCAATAAAGACGGCCAGCAGAATCCACAAAAAAAGCGACAAGGCATGTCAGTTTTATCACAAGGAAGAACAGAAGGTCAAGAGCAGGGTCAGAGGTTAGAGGTCACAGAAGAGGTTGAAGGAGATGGTACTGGGGTAGAAGCAGAGGAGGTCGTGGGAGGAGATGAACAAGAGGAGAATGCAGAACAGTCAGGTAAGAGACAGCTGTGGGTTGAAAGTATGATGTCATTGTGAAAAATGAAGTAATCAACAAAAGTGCAAAGCTGGTTGATGAGCAAATTATCATCTTCCGTCAATGTTAATGAATATTTTTGTGACATTTTGAAAGAGAATCAATGAAATGTGTGTGTCGTTCGGTGTGTTTACCCAATAACAGGTGTTGTCAATCACTAGGGTTAGCCTTGAGTTTTATGACCAATCGACCTTATGTATGCTTTGCTTTTCCCTCACCCGATCCGAAGCGGGATCCGAAACTAGACTCTCCGAGAGATAAGGGGGTAATTCTTGACAGGCCAATGGGTTTGCTGTGTGCAGATTTGTACTCCCATTAATGGTTTTCTTACCAAGTCTGGTGTCAGCGAATTATGGCCTTCTGCACATGTAAACTGACGCATGGCTCCCTTTAAGTTCCAGATATTGAGATTACAAAATAGTTTATGGGTATACAACTTCAGTGAACAGAAAAGGGGGAAATACAGCTAATTGGTTTGTTGTCAGCTTAACACTACAAATTCGCTGAAAATGCATCATTGCAGCATTGTTTACTGCCACACATAATTTTCCAGATTATAGGAAGGAAAACTGGCTACCAGTCCCTATCAGAATTTAAAAATTTTCATAACCTGAATGAAACGTCAACAGCGCAATGTGTTTGAGATAAGGAATCTCAATCGAGTAAGTCTGTGTTATAACGTATGCTTGCTATTTTTATTTTCTGAAACAGAAGAATCATCTATCAAGCCTGTAGTAAAGACACACACGTGGCAAGCTAAGAAAAAGAAAGGAACCACAGATGAACAAAACCAGGTATTGTTTTTCTTTCTTTTCTCCTCCTTCTCCTTGTTCTTCTCCTCCTATTCCTCCTCCTTCTACTTCTTCTTCTTCTTTCTTTGTCTTCTTCTTCTCTCTTCTTTTTCTTTCTTCTGCTTCTTCTTCTTCTTCTTCTCTTTCTTTTTCTTTTTCTTTTTCTTCTTCTTCTTCTTCTTCTTCTTCTTCTTCTTCTTCTTCTTCTTCTTCTTCTTCTTCATCTTTGTCTTTTTCTTTTTATGTCCTTCATTCATCCAACCCCTACAGTACCATTAAATGTACACACAGGTATCAAATAATGAATTTCATGAAACAAATTTTCAATCATATTGCTTTTCTTCATTATTCATCTTGATACAAACATTTTAATATGACAATTATATTTGCAATTTCTGAACCAAGTTTGACATATTTTTGACCAAAATATTAGAAACACTACCAGATCTTGGTCATATTTAAGTCCCCAAATGACAATGAAAGTATTGTAAACAGTCATTAGATAGAACGTAAGAAAAATGCAGAGAGGAAGACATAGGCAAAGAGAGAGAGAGAGAGAGAGAGAGATAGATAGATAGATAGATAGATAGATAGATAGAAAGAGAGATAGATACAGACAGACAGCCAGAGAGCATAATGATACAAATTTTAGAGTCAGGATGATGTAAAGTTTTGCCAAGAAAACACAACTCAAAACTTAACTAATGCTTTACTTATATAACTTGTGTAAATCAAGGTGATCTTCTTTGATTTGACTGGATCTGCTTATATTATCATCCTATTATAAAGATTGATACAGTATTGACATTGACTCTGTTTTATTGGTTTCCTCATTATCCAGCCCCCAAACTAATTATTTTTTTAATAATTTTTGTTTTATAGGGGGAGTCTGATGATGAGGTAGATGCAGCTGAAGCCAATTCAAAATTGATGGAGGTTAGATTTACAATCCATTATTTGTTGATTTTTGTTTGTATTTCCCTTACTAAAAGTTTTTATCTTACAGTCTAGGAAAATTCCTGACTTTGCCTTGCCCTATTCCTAGCCCAATATCAATGCTAGGTCTAACCTTATATCTTTAAGGAATTGAAGCCCTGAGCAAAAGTTGATTGTGACATTAATAAGATATACATCTCAAATAGTCTTATGGTAAGTACCTTTGGAAAAGTTGACTGTTATATTCAGAGTACAAATGATGAAGAAAAAAAGATAACACACATGGAAGAGGGGATGGGCTTATAACAGTACATTAAAATAGAAATGATGACGTAGTAGAAAATATAGAGGTTTAATTGATAAAGTTGTATTATTGATAATGTTTAATGTACACATATTACTTATATTTTTTAGGAGAGTGTATCTGTTTTGGACACTTTGACTGGCTGTCCTGATCCTGAGGATCTCCTAATGTTTGCAATACCAGTGTGTGCCCCTTACAATGTGATGAACAGCTACAAGTAAGTGAATGAACATTTTCTACTACATAATCCCAGTATCTAAGTGCCTCTGTGTTCACAGCTTTTCAAGCAGAACATTTGTGTATTTAGTGAAATTAGCTGAAATTAGGATAAGTTTTTTTTCCTTCTCATCTGCTTCAAACCCTGAATCTACTTTTTATATGCGCAATTGGAATAAATCGTTTCAGAGAAAGTCATTTGGGATTGGTATTTCCCTGTATATTTCACTGTTTCTAAAGAATAAATATGACATGTGTTTGCTGCAATTTTTGAAATTGAAATGTGAAAGATTTTAGCTCTTGTAGAGATATAATGATGTTTGTGTTTTGTGATCCATTTCACACAGATTCAAAGTGAAGCTTACTCCTGGAACAGGCAAGAAAGGAAAAGGTACTTAAATTATGAAATTAATCCTTAAACTTTACTATATTGATGTAAAAACCTGTGTTATATTGTTATGGTTATAGTACAGAAATGAATCAGTGCTATTTAAGATTGATATTTAATGGTAAAACATTTCATAAACACAATGGAAGATCCTGAAATTATTTGTTTGGTAGGGAGGGGATAAAAACACTTGGGCAAAGGTTTATGTACAATCACATTCTCTATGAAAATCATGATAAAAGCATTTCTATATTCCAGTTTATATGGCAGAGTCGTCATTCAAGGATGAGCAATTTATTTACTATTCAGCTGCATGTATCAGGTAGTGTTTGTCATACTTTAATATGTGACCGTTTCTTATACTCCTCAACAGCTGCTAAGACTACCCTCAATATGTTTCAACACTCCAAGGAAACAACTCCAAGGGAGAAAGACCTTTTCAAAGGAGTCAAGGTTTGTATTCCTAATACTGACGGTGCTCATCCCATGTTCACTACCGTAATCGAGTTAAAGAATGTTAAAATGTATTCATCATATCATGGTTGTCTTTATACATTGGATGAAAATTTGGAAAGAAATATAGTCTACAGTAATTAATTTTTTCAAAATATTTTTTGTTTTAATAAAAAAATTGTCTACTAGATATCCCAGTCTATTACAGGCCATAATATGTGCATATCATTTGTAGATCTTACATTGTAATCAAGCTGTAATCAATTTGTATAACTTCAATTTGCTATATTTTTAATTTGGTTTTATGTTTTTGTTTTTCTCTTTCTCTTTTCAGGATGCAGATCTATCAAGGAATATACCAGGAAAGGTCAAGCTGTCAGCACCGAATCGCAATCAAAAGAAGAAGAAGAAATGATGAGGAATAATGCATAGATAAACTGTACATGGTCTTCCTTGTATTTTAATGATGTCAACTTGATGTCCAGAACTATTTGATACCATACGTATGTTTACATCACAGTACATTAGATATGGTTGAAGTCCAAGACTGTTAATATTGTAATTTATACTCCTAAGGGAGCAGAGCATACCATACGCGCTATTACATGTATGTGCGGATTACCAATTGAATCCAATGACGGGTGTAATAATAATTACAAGCTTAAGTGCTTAAAAACATAGTATTAAGTGCTGTACAAATGTGACTATCATTATTATTATTATTATACTGGTCTCACTATTACTGATGTCCACGTGTACACCAAATTGACTCCAAAACTTCTTGAAAACAAGGGATTTGTACCGTAAGGGTAATGTAATTTTCTGTTGGGTCTATTGTTGGTCAGGGCCCCATTTCACAAAACTTCACATCACTAGAAAGCAATTAAAAACCTACTCCATCTCAAAGCAGGTCAGAGTTTTGGTGCTTGTTCTCTACTCGTCTTGTAACTTTCTGAAAGTGGGCAAGTGGTATCAGTTCAATTCAGATGTAGATCACTTGGGGTTTACAAACAAAACATATATTTTGTGAGAAAGATCTGAATTTCTAAAGATCTCAATCACTGATGGATTTCCAGAATAAGCACCATTGCATGGTCATAAGAGAATTTCTGTACAATAAACCTGAAATTGTACTTATAAAATTAAAACAAATCTTGGAATAACAATTTTTGCATAATCATGTTAATTCAATAATGTTGGCTGCTCAATTCTTATGTCTTTAAAGCTATTTTTCCTTTTCTATTGCCTATAAAATGACAAGTTGCCACATATGGCATACTATAGTTGCCAATTTGACATGCCATGATCAGTGGGGCCTTAAACTGTAACTGCATTATCATTTATCCAAACAGGATTGCATTCTGAAAGCGATCACTGGAGCACTGTATAGCATTATAAGTAATACCGGTAGTAAATCAATATATTTTAAGAATGAGAGTTTAAAAATTTTAAAATGTTGTATTTTGATGATTGAAAGCTGAACTTGATTAACAGAAGAGTACCATATCAATAAATGTCATTAAAAGTTTGGCATAATCTTGGATGCAACTCATAGTTACCCCTGTACATTGTACAATTTCTATTATACAGACATACTTGAAATGTGTATTAAATGAACAGATATTATTATTTGTACATTATGAAATGTATTGCTATCCATGGGATATTTATGTTTAAATAAATAATTGTTCATGTTCAGTTTGATATGATTCTTTAAACTTATTTGACTTGCAATACCTTTTTCACTCTAAGCTTTGATTTCCCTGAAAAGCTTTAACATTTAGACCAGGATACAACTATTTTGTGGATTATAACTGGCCAAGTTTGAATTCAAAGCCAAGTGTATTCAACTTGATAAAACAAAGGGGTAGACCAGACAATGTTTATAGTGCTATGTAAAATTGTCAAATAAATCATGCTATTACTAAAAATAAATCATTATATTTTGTAATTTTTCTTTTTACTTTTGTTTCATTTGTAATGATAGGTAAGTCTTTTTCTATACATTTTTAATGTAAATTTCTATGGGAAAACTGTCATCTTTATACTCCCCAAAAAGGAAAGAATAATGGAATAAACTTGTGCAAAAAGTCTCCCTTTTCATAAAAAGGGAATATATGAAAGAATAATCCAAATTCCTACAAAAATGCTTTTAAGATGGTACTTCTAAACCTTCAGATTTATTCAAGAATACAATTAAAACACATCAAGTACAAATACTTTATAGAAATTTACAATGTATGATTTTAAAAAATATGAATGAGCAGAAATTGAATTATTGGAGAATTGGAACGTAAAGGCAAGTAGGCAACGATCCTATTATTATACAGTGAGACACAATGTATGGGCCTATGTAACCCATCTATACTGAGTTGAATCTTTTACAGTGATTGACTCGATTGAATAGGATGATGGGTGTGTCAGGGTGTGTGAATGTGTATTTGTGTCTATGTGGAAGGGGGGTATATTGTATTTGTAAAAATAATTATTGAACAAAGAGATATAGTCAATTCATCTACTTGCAAGGAGAAATAAGTTTAAGGACATGTGGTATTGGAAAATGAATTGATCGAGAAGAGAGTGAGCTATAGATTGTGAGGTTTTAGGAATATACTAAAGTAATAGAGATGACAATCTAAAAACGACCCAAAAACATAACTACTGAAAGGCCTACATATCAGTTGTACACTGATTCCAATAACATTTGAATTGAAAATATGCACAACCTTTTCTCTGTTTGATTTTCTTTCTTTTCATCTTTTTTTTGCTCATGGCTTCTTCCCCTAACCCCTATGCATATCACAAAGTGAAAATGTATACTTAGCCTTTTGTCATGCCTGTCAAATATTTACGAGTTCTTCCTGACATAGCCAAATAATAGTCTACACAATATTTTCTAGTTTTGTTTCATGGAGATAATTGAATATCACGAACTAGATTGTTTCTACAATTTTAAATATAAACTACTTGATTATATTTATATGATACTTTCATACATGTTCAATAAAGGTGTAATGAGGCTGAATTGTAAGACAACACTAATTGTCAATATGGCCGCCTCGAGCTCCATGGAAAAGTCGACGATAGACCAAAACGAAGTGGTGTCGTCGAGTAGCGATGATGTGGAAACAAATCGATGTCTAAATGCAGGTGAAGTATCATCAAGCGATACTGGTGGGCTTTCCAGAATGGCTGATGACACATCGATTGAAGTTTTAGCATCAAGTACTGCAGAAAGATCAAGCACTGCAGCCACCGAATCTTCCCAGAACTTTGTGCCGAAAGGAGCGGGTTGCGTGTCCAGCACGGATGCCCCCATACCTGCTGAAACCTGCGACCGCTACCACAGTGAAGATTCCACAAAGAGTGAGAAAGATGATGCAAGTAAAAGGAAAGGTGGACAAGGAGCAGATTCATCAAGTTCTTGTGATCAAGCAATGACAAAAAACGAACCAAGGTTTAAATTGCCAGGTATAAACTTGAGTTCCACAAAACAAGGACAAAAAAGTTCCAGCAATCATGAAACTGCATCAACAAGCTCAGGTTTTGCAGTTCCATCATCAGTTGAAAGACCTAAAAAGGGTACAATTGCATTTGCCTTGCCCAAGACTCTTCCAAAATCAAAACACGGTTCTTTCCAAGGAAGTGAAGGAGCTCGGTCGAAACAGGAAGAGAAAGATAAAAGTTCTGATGTTTCAAAGAGGCTTGATAAGAAATCAGAAGAAAACGAAAAGGCAGCTGCTAACGCGCCTCCTCTTCCATATAAAGAACCATCATGGAGTGGTGTTCCTAGCCAAGAGTATCACCTTGAAGTACTGAAGAATGGATCCATTCTCTCCAAAGTTGCATTGAATGACAAACCCTACCATGTATTTGGACGATTAGCATCTTGTGATTTTCAGATGGACCACCCTTCCTTATCACGTTACCACATGGTCCTTCAGTATAGACCTACAGGAGATGGCGAGCATGATCCAGGCTTTTATGTCTTTGATCTTGGAAGCACCCATGGGTCTTTCCTCAACAAACAGCAGTTAAAGGCTAAAGCCTTTTACAGAATGAATGTGGGACATATGTTCAAACTTGGAGGAAGTACAAGACTCTTTATCCTACAGGTAGATTGAAAATCATCTCATCTCGTGCAGTAGAAGCCAAGCTCTTTTCATTTAATTTTGTTTATTTATTTATTTGTATTTATTCATAATTGTTGTTATTTGTGATTATTATTTATTGTTATTTATATTTTTTAGGGGAAGGGGGTTATGTACCTTCTGAGTAAATGTTCATTTGTAGTTTGATAAATCACTCTCAAATATCTTCATCTACAAGTAAAACTGACCTCAAAGTTTTGTTGTATTGACTTGGCCTCAAAAGTAAAATATTGCTGTAGACTATTCCCAAGCTGGCCAAGTGGAGATTTACTTTAAATGGGTAATTTTATGCGATGTGCCTTGTACAGCATACAACTTTTTTTCTATCGAATGTACTGTTTTAAAATATATAAGCGGAATACCATGTAGTGTAATCTAAACCCCAAAATTATTATACCCCAGATTTAGGGAAATGTATTTAAATGTTGTTTCATAGAATCTGGACTTGCAGGCTAGGGCTTAGAAGTAATGGATTCTAGTCTTGTTATTTTTGTGTGATTTAATCATCACCTCTTATGATGTTTATTCAAATGTAATGGCAGGGACCATCAGGTGAACAAGAGGAAGAATCTGACATGACCATTACAGAGCTGAAGGAACTCAGACAAAAACAGATGATGCAGATGGAAGAGAAGAAGAAGAGAAAAGCAGAGAAAGAGATGGCAGCTATGAAAGCTCAAGAAAAGAAATCAGAAGGCATCGATTGGGGTGAGATTTATAAACAAACATAAAGCCATGCAGAGTTGCAGACAGCAGAACAAGTTTGAAATAAGTGATTTTACAAGGATGTATACTAGATAAATTGATGCTATTCAGCTATTGAATATAAATGAGGTACACAGACTCAACAATTCATACTACATTGCTTGTTTTGAATGAAGATTTTCTAGCATTTGACTAGAGCTGCATATGAGCAACGAATCATGACTTGACATGTTTAATTTTTCAATACTATTCTATGTAGGTATTTTCATCTACAAATGCTCCTTTGAGTTTTGACTGTGACAAAAGTATAAGTATGGTTATAATGTATAATCTTATTGGTTTTTATCTTGAAAGACCCGTATCATTGCAACTTAGATTCACATGAAGCCGTACGTAAGAAGCAAGTTGGAGATGTAGTGAAGGGCACTTGTATTGATTTGATAGTTTTCAACCACCCTTTCTATCCACACATTTTGATTGTTAATACTAGGTATGGGTGGTGATGAAGAGGAGGAAGAGTCTGATGAAGAGAATCCCTTTGCTTCGATGGAAACCCAGGAAGACAGAGAGGCTGCTTACATCAAGGATCCCAAGAAAACACTCAGAGGATTCTTTGAGAGAGAAGGTTTGTTTGCTTGTTTTAATTCAACATGGTGATTAATAATCCTGCTTTTAGCCACAAGCTCGTTTTTCAGCAAGTTTGTATACAAAAGAAGACAACATTCCCCAAAAATATCAGCAATAGTAATTACAATTTATTTACATAGAATAAATGCAAATTACAAAAATACAAATTATACAATTTAAAGAAAAAAACAGATAGTAGAGATAATAGAGATAGTAGGGAAAATAGAAGAATCAGACAAACAGGGTTAATGAGCGAAAAGTATCGTGGTCGAAATCTCTGTAATTATTTTTGTGCTTGTTTTACAGAATTAGATAGATTAAAAGAATATTATCAAAGATGTAATCTGTCCGTTGTTTAATAATTCAAATTTCAGCTACATGTATTTCCATTTTACCTGTCAATGTTTGAAAGAACCATTTATACCAACCATTTTTAATTTCTTCTTTTGTTTTCCTTTTTGTCTGTATAGATGTTGAGTTAGAATATGAAGTGGATGAGAAAGGGAGTGGTTTCGACCATCAGTACGTTTGCAGAGTACAGTAAGTCACCTGATATTACAGTTCATTGTCTCTTCTTATTTTTGACGTCTGGTTGTGACTTATAGATAATGTCTAACCTCTAAATTCCTTGCAGTTTGTTTCAAATGTAATCAATCAACCCTCTATCGCGGTTCAAGAACCTTGTGAAAAGTTGCAATTTATCTTGACCCATTAGTGAATGATTCAATGAAAGAGCTCTACCTACATATCCAAATATTAACAATAATGTCATTCCATTTTTATGTAGCGCATATCAAAGTTCATAATTGTCTCTATGTGCTTCCAAATTGATTTTGAAATGATCACTCCAACTGATAAATGTTGAACATGTTACCTTCTCGGTTGTCTGTGTTTCGAGCATTGCCTAAAAAGAAAAGTTTTCTTTTTGTACTTGACGCTTCCCAAGATGTAGTTCTCAACTCTGTTTTAGTATTTGATTCATGTCAAAAATCACATCAAAGTCTCTATGCTTCCCAATTTCTTTTTGAGATTCCATTCCCAACTGATAAAATTTGAACGTATTGATCATAGGCTGCCTCTGGATGATCAAGTAGGGCTTCCAATCTACGCAGAAGCATCGGTCTCAGGCAAGAAGAAGGAGGCAGTCATAGCCTGTGCCTTGGAAGCTTGTCGTATTCTGGATGCTCATGGGGTTCTTAGACAGGCAACCCATGGTAGGATATCACATCTACAAGACATTTTTGTTTTGTTAATTTCTAATCATTAAAACTTACCGGCATCTGAGCTGATGGTAAATGAGATGGCACTTCAAGTGAAACTGTCTTAAATAAATACTGATTTGTTAATCATGCAGTAAATATGTTTTTCGAACCAACAAACTAGGCTTTGTGAATAAATATTTTCTGTCTTTCATTTTAGTTTCTGTATGATAGGTACATGTCAAAGTATAAACTGTGTATGTATGATGAAACGTCCTGAATGTATTTCTTCATAAATTTGAGAGCATAGAACTGTTTGCATTGAAAAACTACAGAAAGTAAGAAGAGGAAAGCCAAAGACTGGGCTCAGGATGATTACTATGACAGCGATGATGATACGTTCCTGGACAGAACTGGAGCCATTGAGCAGAAGAGGAAACAACGTATGAAGAAAGCTGGACTCCTTCAAGAGAAGGCTCAGACATATGACTCTTTGGTAGGTGGTGGCATGATGATGGATACATATGTCAGATATAACAAACCTTACAGATGCTCTTTTCTTTTCAAATGGAAGTTGTAAATCTATTTAATAACTTTTAAAGTCTTAAAAGGCTCTTTATGTGGAAACTGTTGTGCACTAGTGAAACCCAATGTCTTTGTAACTGCAAGTGCAAAAGCCTGATCCTATTTATGACATGTGTCTAAAATTTCTAAAATTTATCAACAATTATATTATGAAACATCTAGAATTATAACTTATGTTTTGCATAAATTTGCTGTAATTATGTAATTTTAATATATGACCCTGGGTAGGCTCTTTCCATTGATGGCTAAGTAGCATTCTTTCATTTTCACAGTTCAGGCAGAGAATGATTAATTACAGAAATGTTGATGTTATGATCAAACCTGCATTGAGATCTAAATACCTACTATCATACATCAAATTTTACTCCTTCTGTGGTACGGTATATTTATTATTAAGAATGAAAATAATTTCATATTTTTGTATATTCTATCATCTAGCTTGCAAAGCTTGCAGAAGTTGATGCTGAGCTTGCAGAAACAGAAAAGAAACTTGAAGAAGCCAAGAAAGGTAATATGGTGATATAGGAATTGCAACGTTTTGTTGTAACATTGGATCCATGTTGAGAAACCACTCGGGACTCAATGAACAAAAAAAGGCATTTTGTACATACTCACAGTGTCTAGATTCTAGCACTGTATTGTTGTTAAATTTATCAACAATATTGCTCTCTATACCACATTTTATTTGTTTTCTTACAGCATCAGCTGTAAATGATATTGATATTCGATCCTTTTATAGCGCATATCATGTTATTCCATCTCTTAGTGATTCCACAGAGCTTTAGAAATTAGTCTGAAGAAGAAAAAAAATTGTGAATCTGATTGATAAAAAAACAACCCAGGAATACCATAGGAAGGTTAAAACAAATGTGTTAACAAATTTATTTAGATTTCATGTCCAAAGGTTGACCTTTTAACATGGGTCTTTCAAAGCTTCTGCTACTTTTGGCCATACTCAAAGAAACATTGACAGATCGAAATGCTTTACCGTCTATATCAGAAGACAGGGTTCTGAAACACTATTTTATCTGATTTGTTGTTTAGTTTTAGACTTTGGCATTGATTACTTCCAGATTCTGTGGAATTATTCTGAATTTTCCTTTTTTTTCTCTGCAGTTCAACCAAAGTCCGGAGAATCAGACAGCCTGGATGATTTCATTGCTAGCCTGAAGGCTGGGGGCAGTTCACACGATAGGGCTCAGAGGGCCAAACTTAAGTTCAAGGTGGTGGACCTTAGGAAGGAACAGTTCAGACTACAGAAGCTAGTCCAGGTGGCCAGACCTACGCATATTCCAGAGCCTCCCAGGTATGTCTAGAGTTTAGAGGTCACTTTTCTTGAAATATTACCAAGTACTGCATATCACCAAGCATCAGGAACACTATAAAGACTTGAATGAAAGTAAACTATTTTTTTTCCAAGGTAAAATCTAACTTGGTAGATACTATATACATGCTTTTCACTATGATTATACTGATCAAACACAAAGATTATTTAATTGAAAACATATCGTTGCTTTCTAACAGTATTAGAACTTTACCTACAATCACACTGACATGTTATAGTCAAACAAAATGTCTCTTTTAAAGTGCACAATGCTTTCCCCAATCATCCCTCTGTTATCCTCAATTAGAGATTTGTCAACATATGTAGAACAATACTTGTGATTTACAAGTTTCAATTATACTGAGGGATCCATTTATAACATCATGTAGCATTATTACTCCACTCGATGTCCAAGGAAATCAGTTTTTGATGCAGAACACCTTACAAATGTCAATCTTCAAGATGTACTTTTGTTTTACATAAGCATAACTTGAAATCCTGCATGTTCGTCTCTTGAATGCATGAGATACTTCAGAAATATTTTTTTCTTCTAGAACTTGATTCTTTATCAGTTCACATTGTTATCCCTTCATCTGTGCTTTTATTTTCAGGTTGAAATCCCTTCCTAAAGGCAAGGCTCTACCCATGACTGGTTCCATGAAATCCAAATCAAACTTCAAAGATAGATTCCAACCAAAGGTAGGTTCAGATTGGATTCTATGCAGGTGGTAGTCCATCTTTGATGTAAATCCTCTGATTGCATATCTCCAAGCAGAAACTTCATTCCCTATCATTTAAGATATATCACATTGTCAAATACATTGTTTGTTGTATTTTTAGGTAGCTAATCTTATTCAGTTTGTGAATTTATGGTGAATAGAGAAAATAGATGTATTGAACTGTGATTTACTGTTGCCAAGTAATCCAGATTAAAATATGATCAATTGAATTTTCTCATAAATACCTCTATATTTTTGCGTACATTTTCAAGTTTTAATTGCGTTGATGATATGGTTTCTCTACATCCCTATTGAATTGCATGCAGAATATGGATTTTGTTTTTCTGTAAGAAAATTAGCACAGTTATATTGAGTGCCCTACTCTGGAGTACCACAGTGAAGAAAATAATGTTGAAAGACCAGCAATAACATCCCCAGTGAAGACGTTTATCCAGATTATTGTAAAATGGGGTTAGTTATTTGGTATCCTTATTTAATTTGAAATTAAGAATGTTCACTAATCTCTCAACTAGAGTCCCTCCTTGTCTGTATGAATTGTAATTTTGCAACATTTTGATTTTCAATAACATTATACATATTGGTTATTCTCTCTCTTTCTCTCTCTCTCTCTCTCTCTCTATCTCTCTATCTCAAAGATTCAAATAAACGCTTTCAAGTTAAAGAAGGAAACAGAAGAAGAGGTGGAAGAAGAAGAGGAGGAGGATGAAAATGAAGGTAAATAGCACATAATACGTAGTAAAATGGTAGGTAAACCACATCAAGAAAAGAAAAACAAAATACCCAATTTCTGAATGAAAAAAACCCAACCTATTTCATTATTACAGAGTCTATTGCATGATAATACATTTCTGTTTTTCACGTTTGCATAACTAAATCAACAGATAATTTATGTGTGTTATTAGAGGAAAGAGTGATTCTCCAAGGTAACACATGGTTTCAAAACATTACAACTGTTACCAATCATTCATTGTTTTGGAGTTGAATATTCATATCTCTACCGGGGATATGAATATTCATATATCCCTACCTGCATCATTTTTCATTAATAGACAAGAGTGTATCGGATTAGCAGGTACTTTTTGATAAACCTTGTTCTGTGATGTAACATGATAGAATGTAAAAATATCTGCTCATCAAACTTTGCTCTTTTTTCTTCCTTTTGTGGTTTCTTGTTAGATGCTGGTGATAATAAAGATACAGAAATCAGGAGTACACATGAAAAACAGGTAGGTTTCCTCTTCAAGAATCAAGTTTGCCAATATTTATTATAACCTCAAAGTTTCTAAACTGGTATTCTTTGTATCTCTTCACTGTTATTTACCTATTATAATGTTGTATATCAACCATAGCTTTTTAAAACTGACAATTTGAATATGACGCCAGTTGTTGGTTCATCGGTGGGGGGCATGGAGGTCCAGCTACAGCACACTTATTCAGAACATGCTCAACAGTCTGAATTTGACAACAGTCTGAAATTGGCCCGCACCTGACCGAAAGCCGTTCAGTTGGGCCGAGGGCTTCCTGTGAAGGCTGATGCCAGGATGGTGAGAGGACCAAGCTTTAAGATACGGTTTCAGCATCTCAAGGACAGTTGGTTCTGTAGCACCGTCTACCTCAAGGTTCTTAACATATAGGTGTAGAGGCCTCCTTGAGGACAGTCTGCACAAAGAGGAGTTAATGCAGGTGGTCCAGCCGAGCAGCTTTGTGATGACCATCTGCAGATGTTATCCTGATACACATGCAGAGATATTTGCTTGTATTGTCCTGCAAAGTTTGGTGTCTTTAATTTCTATTCTCTTTGTTTTATCAGGTTCTTCATGCAGCAGAGTGTGGGAGTCGTGAGATTGAAGCATTGAAGAGGATAGAGGGTGAAGCTCCACCACCTCAGCACCAGAGAGTGTATGGAGTAGCAATGCCTCCTCCTCCATCATCATCCAATGAGATGGATACAACACCGATTGCCATGGAGAAGGAAGATGCTGACCCTACTCCATCTTCCTCCGCACCCAAACGAGTGTATGGAGTAGCCATGCCCCCTGCCATGCCTAAGGAGCAGTCCATAGATGCTATGGAGGAGGAGGAGGAGGGGGGTGTGGTTCCAGTGAAATCTAAGAAGATGTACGGTCCGGCTATGCCCCCACCAAGTATGCAGAATACAACAGGTATTGATAAAGGATCTGTTGGGGATTCCCCCTCTGCTTTCAACAGTTTCCATTTGACATGGAATTGTAGTGAATGTCCATGGATAAGGGGAAATTTATTGCAAAGTGTAATCATCATTCAGAAGCATATTAGTGCCCTGAATTATTTGATGAATAGCAGGAAATGTTTAAAGTTTAAAAGCTTTTTGTAATATATTACTGCACATGAAAGTACTTTGCCAAAACAGAAATTATGAACTTGGTTAGAAAAAAGTATAAATTCATTGATTACATTTGATTGATTCATATAGTTTTCCTATGTAAAGCTTTATCTGTTCATGAAATAAATATGTCAGATCTGGGCCAGCCAGCCATATATGCATTTTTGTAATGTGTTTATGATTTATTTAATGTTTCTGAATTGTCTTTAAAATTCTTGTGTACGCATAGTCCACGCAAAGTGTTAAATAAAGATTGAACAATTTCCATTCCCATTTGTAGGAAAGAGACTGGTAAAAGGTCCCTCTCGAGGGCCAAGCAAGGCAGGGGTCAAAGGAGACGGATCAAGTCACCAGTCTGTAGGAGGTATGCTGGCATCATTAAGGGATAATGAAGGAGAGAAGATGGAAGAGAGTGAGGATTACACGGATTGGCAGCCTCCTACAGGTACGTAGATTAAGATCATCCTACCTCGGATTCAACTTTCAACAAACAAATCTTAACATGTTTCCTTGTGGATGAAAATGGAAGTAATACCATCCAATTGAAAGTAGTAATAAGTTTATTACAGCATTCAAGTGTTTTCATACTAATCTGTCAAAAAGTTTATTATGAGTGAATTGGGTGAAGGGAATAAAGCCCCTCTAAAGTGTTGGGAGCTCGAAAAATTTGATGGCAAAATTTCACTTAAATTGTATCATAATGTAAAAGAGAATGTCACAGACACATTTCTGCAAGGATTTTCAAACAGTGAACAATTTGTCTTTTGTAGAAACAGAATCATCAAGTAGGGTACTTTACACAAACATTTAGGCTTATTAGAAATGAATGGTTTATAGCCGTTTGGTCTGCAACCGATTTGTCTACTTCCCAGTTGGTCTATTCCCATGTGGTCTACACCCAGGCTGTCTACTATCCACATGGTTAGACCATATCGAATTTGGACCAAATGACTATTAGCCTAAATGGTCAATAGACCACATGATAAGTAGACAAAAATATTATTAGACCATGTGAATAGTAGATGGACTGAGTGTGTAGACCATATGGGAAAAGACTATATTTGGGAGTAGACGAACTGGTTGTAGACCAAACAGCAATTCACCAAATGAACAACCTCCTCTGAGAATGTATAATTGGACTTTCTTTTTATTTGTGTGAATGTAGTAGACCATCACTAGGCAGTCAAGTATAAAGCTTCTTTAATTTGTTATTATGTTTTACAATGGGATTATTGCTAGATAAAATTCTTTAGATATGTATGTGTTTAAGGAATAAATTGATAATTTTTTGGTTTGATGTATGTGATTATGAACATTTCCATATATCTCTGCTTTCTTTTCTTTGTCCCCATCTTTCCCCCCAGATCAAAAAGGAGATGGACGCACCTCGCTGAATGAAAAACTAGGGTATTGAACATCAAGAATATAGAAAAAACATTGTAACTTGACATGAAGGAGTTAATGAATAATAGTGATTCATCCTCCAGAAGTATTGTAGTTGAGTGTTGTATACTCTTGAATGGATTTGCAAAGTTCATGAGTTATAAACCCTGGCATGGCACTTAGTAAGACATTTATTCACTTTTGTTGCTCTCCACCCAGGTTTAGTATTTGGGTACCTGTTAGGGAGAAAGTATTTGAATGCTTTGAACTCCGATATTGCCAGCCTTGCTGAAGCTGAAGCCAGTGTAACATTTTGGAGTGCCTTAAAGCATGGACTTATACAAGTACATAATATCATGATTTTAAAATTGATTAATATAGATGACAGAAAAGTCAATGTGTGTCTTAAATCTATACACTAAAATGTTAAAACTTGATTTAGAAGCAATTTTTATTGGTTAAATTCAGGGTTTCTATTTACCATTCAGTTTGATGCACAGAAACTATGAATTTACCTTTTTTTTTTAAAGGTTACAGCGGTGTACATTTTGAGATGTAAATTCGAAAAGAATAACATAATTTCAGAAATTTGACAAGCATACAGTTTCTCTCATTCTCTTTGGAGTAACGTAGAAAGAAGATTGCATGACTACTTTGACTAGTATTAAAAAAAAAGGAACAAAGATTCACATTGATTGAAAATATACCTCACTCTGAATTTATCAATGTTCGTTTAAAATTTGGTATTTTAGCTAGCATTTTTTCCCCTTCCAGTTTCATTTTTATTTGAGAACTTAACATCACCTGAAGGAGTTCACAGGACTTTACGCAATTATTCATTGTGCATGTGATGTGTGACATCAGTTCAGCAAAATATACATCAGATAAGGATTGCAATTCATTTCTAAACTGCTCATGCACCATGTAAGCCTGCACGTATGGCACGCACCTAGTACTGCCATCCTCCCAATGTTTGCTTTGAGATAAGACACTGTCTTTCCACCTGCTCCTCAGTCTCAGACTGGTAAAATACCCTAACCTTTATACACATATCATCTTCATCAATTTCTAGCAGTATGCTGCTTTTGAAAAATGTCCACCTCAATTTTCATTGGTCACTAATAAATCAAACTAATGAAAGTTTACTGGAAATTCATTTAAACTTTCACGGTCGGTGATCTATTTTTGTGATGTACAAAGGGGCATGATGATATGATATAGGGAGAGAATGGAAGCAATCATGTGAAATTACATGCCTTTTCTTTTTGTGTGTGGGTAAATTTAAGAAACAATCTGTTATGTGATTTATTCTCTGCAGTCAATTTCGATCAGTGTATTTGAGATGCTATTGGTTATCCTCCATTGTGGATGATTTTGTTCATACATGATTGTATAGTTTCATATAAAACACTGTTGCATATTGTTATAATAAATTCATTTATTGTATATATGGATTTGTAGCATATTTATTGAATTTGCTCTAAATGATTACCATCAAATGGAATTGCAAAATTTGGATAATTTAGGACTGAATTGATTTCAATGGTAGTGTTGTAATAGTTGAAGAGCCAAAGTGAAGAAAGGGGGGTGAATATCTGAAGTGAAAGAGAAGGTTATTAATTTTGAACGCCTGGTAAGAACGAGAGAGAGAGAGAGAGAGAGAGAGAGAGAGAGAGAGAAGGAAGGGGGGGGGAATAAGAATTAAAGTGATTGAACTTCAAACAGATTATTTAAATTAAGTAGAATGCTAGGTGTTGGACAGAGAAGTGCATGTATTGATTGCAAAGAAACTGTAGTATTTTTCTCATTTCATCTTTCTTCATTTCCCAATTTCATTTGTTACTTTGCAAACCCAATTTGGGAGGACATTGCCCTCTGACATTATGCCAGGCACTGCCACCCTATATGTGTCAACAAGTGTCAGCTTGTAATGGCCCTAGACACTGCAGTTATCACCAGTGACTAGCCCTAACTTCTCAAAATTTGGTATAGAACTCTCTTTGTTTTATCCTGCCTCCCAAGAAGGATGAAAACAACATCTTCTCTCTAACTCTCTTCACTACTACACTTTTCAAAGTTCTTCATCGAAGCAACACGTCATTTTTGAGAATGTCACCTCTACCACCACAATTTGCTTCATGCATACACCAGGAGCAAATCCTTTTTCACTTCTAACCTCCTTCATTTCATTTGGAGAATTCTCTTCCGTGCCTATCACCTCTTGTATGGCACATCAACTCTTTCTTTGCCGTCTTCAAAGGACGGGCAGTCTTGCAGTGGAACGTTTAAATCAGGACCCGACATGGCACCTGATTCTGCGCTGGGAGCTGCCAGTTTCTTCGTTCCGGTAGCTCTTTTCACACACGAGCTCGATTCACTGTAGCTCGTCTGAACTTCCATCAACGAGTCCGTCTCACTGCAACTCTGATGATTTCACTTCAAAGTCCGGCTCATCGATCCAGCATCGAGCGACTCACTGCTCTTCACGATCACCACCACCGGCTTTGATGTCTACATTTCAACCTGGGCCTCCGACATCGAGCGACTCACTGCCTCGTCGTCGAGCGCCACATTTCGTATCTTCTCTTCTTGCCCGAGCGCTACATTCATCATCATCACGAGTGTCGGCATCAACATCGCGTTCTTCTCGGCTCTTCAGCCACGTCAACAAAGTCGCGTTTCCATCATCAAGCCTCCGCACAATCATCGCGTGAGCCCCTTTCTTCGTTTCATCCGTCATCATCTTCATGCATGGACTTTCGACGTCATTTTTACCATTGTCGTAAGCTCTATTCATTCATCGCATTCAATTTATTAATGTTCGTTCTCATTCATTACATGACCATTTAAACTCCGTGCAATATCCACGATCCTCATTTAAATGATTCTCATTCCGAATCATTTATTCACTTGCATGACTACACTTTGTAAGTGTTTTGTCTGCAACATCAGCGCAAAAGTAGCAATCTACATCAAACAATTATTCTGGACAGTGTAAACATAGATGAACTCTGTGACGAATTCGTGATTAGATCGGAGACAAGGAGAAAGATTTAGTATGACTTATAAGAAAGTTCACTAGTTGCTATGTTGTTTCCGTTCACCCTTTTTAAAATTCACGGCATTGTATCTTTATTTTTATTTTTTTCAATTTCCTGATATTTCATAAAACATTTTTCATTTTTGAAAAAAAAATTACAATGTCACATCTTATTTTTGTTTTATTGAAAAGCTGATGTAGGCCTATGTCACTGGTGTACTGGTGGGGGGGGGGGCTTGGGGGCGCTAGCCCCCCAAATATATCACATGATTTTCAACAAAATTCGCGTTTCTCCATTTCTGTTGCAAACTGACACATTCCCAAACAGCCAGGAAGAGCATATATTTTGTATAGTCGCTAATGGGCCTAATTAGTGGCCGATAACACTAACAGTGATATACAATTCCTTTCCAGAAGCTATTGCGACAAGCTCTACCGGGAGATAACATGATACCCACCACTCGGGCTGTGCATGCAAACATTTGCGAACGAACGTTCCATACGTGCATCAAGTGGGGAAACTGAATTCAGACAAGGATTAATATAGAGAACAGTACAACGGATCGTCCTCTTTCTCTAATTTAGTGAAACTGCAAAGCTAGGATTCAAGGCCCACTGCACTACTTGCAGCTACTTGCGCCCTATATAACAAACAATGCCTAATCGGTGACCATTGCTCCCCCATGATCCTCTTTTTCTTATGTTAACTGAGAGCTGAGTTGATGAGATAACCACCTGTCCGGTGACCTTGCAGGGCAGTCTAATCCCTCCTATAAACTGCGGCAGATAAGCTTTAAGAGTTATAATTAATTAAAACGTCAAAGTACACGATACAACGAATTGTCTTCTTTTTCTAATAATTTAAGGAAACATGAAATATTCCGCGCTACGCGCGGGATGGGCGAAAATGATTTCAAACGTGGATTAAGAGTAACTAGAATTTAATTCGTCACGAGGACGAATAAGGTGGTCTGTCTAAGTCTTATGATAGATTTGAGAATGGGAGAAGTTATATAGACATGTAAACAATGATGATCATGATGAACATGATGATGATCATGATAGTAAAGGTGATGATGATGATGATAATGATAATGTTATATGATAAAAACGATAATGTTAATGATAATGATGAGCATGGGCATGATCCTGACATCTGATTGAAAAAAATGAGGAAATATTTAGATAGCAAATAGTCTCAGCTACAACATACTAAAATTTGGGAGAAAACTGTTGAATAACAACCGAGATACTGGTCAAAACACCTTGTCATGGAGATTCATGTTTTGAAAAAAGTGACCTCCCATAGACATAACACGCAAATATGACAAAATTGTATTGTCGCCTTTAATCGAATATTTAACTATGATGACGTCATCCAAATGAAAAATAAATGACATATTTATGATAGAGAATTATCTCAGCTACAAGATATCAAAATCTGGAAGAAAATCGATCACCGATAAGTGAGATAATCTCAATTAAACAAAGACAAAAATGACGTCATCAACAAAATACATTTTCTCTAGTTTAGATGCAAATATGAAGATTTTGTTTCACTTTGTACGAGTCAGGGTGGTATGAAATCATATCTCCAACTCATGCTCTTTCCAACCATGATATAAAAATTGGGGGTCGACGGACTATCTGTAGAGCTATTTCGATTTATAAAGTAGCATGTTTTTGATCAAATTTACATTATATTGCCCATAGCAGCACGCGCGGAATTTGAAATTTGACGCGCGCTCACGGCCTTATGAAAGGTCAAGAGTGACTGAAATTAATGTAAATTATTATTTACGGTAAGAGGAATCTAAATCATGTAAAAAAAAATGAATTTGACCTTTTCCGCGCGTTGTGAGCGCGCGCACCGCGCGCGGGGACAAGTACGGACGGAAATTTTTGAAATGCTTAAAATGACCTGATTCGTACTCTCGTTAAATAGTTAAGTGATTTTGAGCAATTTAAAATTTTGACGCGCGCGTACGTGCGCGTCATGACCTTTATGTGACCTTTGATGACATGACTTGTTGACCCTTGACCTGAAGTATATGTGATATGAATATGAATGAACTTTGTTTATGCATCATAAAGATATGATGGATAATGTGATTTCACAAAATGGCGCCTGGATGACGTCATGATAACCTGATGACCTTGAAAAGGTTACTGTCACGTGTTATGACAATGACCTATGACTGTGCCAAAATTGAACGAAATTGACTAAACTGATCTTGAGTTATCTATGGCACAAAAAAGTGTAGGAAATAAAAATAAATAATAATAAAGAAAGAAAATTCTGACGAAAACAATAGGTGATCTGTCGTTGACAGACCACCTAATAATTAAATGAAACGTCAAAGCTCCCGAGCGGGTTGAACTGAAATCAGACAAGGACACGATACATTGAATCGTCTTCCTTCTCTAATAATTTAATGAAACGGTAAAGCTTCGCGCGGGATGGGCGAAAATGAATACAGACAAGGATTAAGAGTAATAATGTATTGAACCGTCAAAGCTTTCGCGCTTCGCGTGGTAGGGGGAAACTGAATTTTGACAAGGATTAAGAGTAATAATTTATTGAAATGCAAAGCTTCCGCGCGGGGAAACTGAATTCAGACAAGGACTCGTGACAACGAATCGTCTTTTTTCCCTATTAATTAAATGAAACGTGAAAGCTTCCACGCGGGGGGGGGGGGGGGGGGGGACTGAATTCAGACGAGGATTAAGAGTCGAGAATGGTACATCGAATCGTCTTCTTTCTTTAATAATCTAATGAAACGTCAGAGCTTTCGCGCTACGCGCGGAGGAAGGGGAACTTGACTCAAACAATGGTCCAACGAATCGTCTCTTCTTTCTCTAATAATTTAATAAAACGTCAAAGCTTCCGCGCTTCTCGGGGAGGGGGGAAACTGCCCCCTCCCTGCACCCAACCTCCTAGGGAGCGCCCTCTATAAGCTATTCGCGAGCTCACTACCGCCCCCCCCCCCCCCCTTAAAATGAAATCCTGGCTACGCGCTTTGGGAGGGGGTGCAACCTGCCACACGCTTCTACCTCTTGGTTGCTTTGATCCATTGCCGAAAATATTTTGACACCAATCATCCCCCCCCCCCCCGAACCACGGATACAATTACAAATCGACACCCTTGTCAGTACCCAATAAAATAACGAAAAGGGAATACTTTTTATCATGTATTTTATTGCCAGTGCAATCTTATTTCCTCGTAGTTAAATTAAACAGAGAGTTATGTTGTGTGATCAGTGAACACGCCTTTACAATATTCATTCACATTACCCACACACACTCATATCTCCACAAAACTGATGACACAATGAACGTAAATAAAAGTAATAATTTACAAGTTATAAAGAGATATATTTAAAAAGCACTCGTCTTCGCACAGGAAAGTTCGGGCTAGGGGAAACATGTTCTTCTTGGGTCACCGTTGGCTTGGATGCCCCCTCCCCCAGCCAAGGTCTAGATTTGCATTGTCATGCAGTCTCCGAACTTTCCAATCTTATCAATAAGTTCATGTGAAAAGCTTCAGCTGGAGGCCTGTATCTATGTTGTTGCTTGTTTAAAGAATATGAAAATAAATAGTGAAACTAGATTAAGCCGCACGTGATAAGATAAGCTTTAATTGCATATGGTGTACAAAAAAAACTCTTGATATTAAATTCATATGGTAATCTGAATTTTCTCTGAACAGGCTGCAAACTTCTTGTCTCATTTAATTATCTGACACAGTTGCAAGAAGTTCGTCTGCTTTGATAATTTGTGAATTTCGCCATCTCTCGCGTAAGTTATCGTTATCCGAATAGCATATGAAATCGATGATTTAAGCTATACAAAATAATCAAGAGTAAATTATGAGGAAAGGCTTTGAAAAGGATTAAATTCAATAATTTAATAGAAGGAATCGATGTATGATGTTATTTTAACGCGGAGAATGTTAGCCTCAATTCTTCCATTGTTGAACATTATAAGGAGTTGAAATCAACATTAACTTTTCCAATACTTGAGTGCACAAATTAATATTACAAGCATTACATAAAGAAAGAAGAAAAAACTGTAAGCTAAATTGATTTTCAGTCTGTAAAGCATGCAAAATGGTTTTCGACACCCGTTTTTTTTTTAGCCCAAGCTTGGAACAAACGAATTGTTTCAAGACTTTTGGAAAAGTTAGTTGCTAAAACAACTGTGGAAACAAAGTAATGAATAAGGTGTCATTAGAGAGAATAAAGGTACTCTTTACCATGAAAACAATTTTCAAGGGCACATAGTTTATCAACATTTCATAATGCTAGGTTTACGTTGTGTTCCCGGTGGCCACGACACCGGACCACGACCCGAAACGTAGTGCGCCTTGGGATTTTTGCTATTTTTCTATGTAGTCAAATTTTGTTACGTCTTGCCAAGTTTTTTCATTACGTACTGTCACGTTTTGTTGCGTTCACTTCGTTTTACTACGACCTACTAGGTTTCTCATCCGCACCGTGACTGCCGTGGTCCTTTTTGTTTACAGTTTAAAAATCTGGCCCGGCATCCACGGCAATCACGCCTGTCACGTTTGCCTATGCATTCCTTCCCCCGCGTTGTCTCACGTCCATCCCGTTTTGTCCACGGTGGCCGGAAACGTGATTGCCGTGGCCGCCGGAACAAAACGTAAACCTATCATTATAGGAGCTATTAAAATAAATGTGCATATACTCTTTGTTGTTGATACACACTGTATGTATAAAGAAAGTGAAAATGATAATGATACTGAGTTATCAGGATATATAGGCCGCGGTTTACGTGACAACATCGTCTGCTAAGAGCTAGAAAGCCATTATTATCTGTGACTCAGGATCAACGAACTTCTGGATGTTAACAGACTCTGCCATATCCTTCTCCTCAGTGGGGTAAAAGCTATAATCATTCATTGATTGGTTGGTACAGTAATTGGTGGAGGTGTCGCGGTCTAGTTCATTCACTTGACTCTCATCCTTTATTAGGGTTGAGGGTTCAGATCTTAGTCCAGCACTGATGCTAATGAGGTCTCCCCAGGTAAACAATAGTAATAGTAATAGTATATTTTTGTATGTCCATTCTTTCAAAATGAAAGAAAAATGTATATACCAAATAACTTGTGTGGTAGTAGCTTAAGACCAAGTGCGTTGCACATGGATAAGGTTTTTAATACAGCTCACGCTTGCCAGCTAAAGAAATTAGCAAAATTTGTTAGAATCATTATGTCATATTTTTCAAAAGATTCAAGGGTAAATGGTAATACTGCAAATGATAGCTCACAAATAAGCAATGTTGTTAGGCACACTCGTAGCGGTAGGAGGGTGAATTGCCCAGTTCGCCTTGATTTGTAAATATGTTTATTTGTTCATATTATCACATGTTTATCATTGTTCATATTATCACATGTTTATTATTGTTCATATTATCAAATGTTTATCATTGTTCATATTATCACATGTTTGTCTTTGTTTATACTATCTTATTATGTTTATCAATTTTCATGTTATCACATGTTTATCATTGTTATACTATTGTTATATTGATACTATGTTGTAAATATGTTTGTACTCTCATACCCCGAGAGGGGGTCGATAGAGTCAATAAAATCTTACAATCTTACAATCTTAGTATTATTATTATTGTTATCATAGGTAGTGGTAGTGGTACGTATTATAATCATTAATATTACTATAATTATTATTATTATCATTCAAAGTGTTCTTCTATTCAATCTCATTTGTTTTTATGGAAATCTCACACAAGCAGACAAAACTAAACTCGAACGTCCTAGGAAAATTGCTCAACGTATTATCGGCATTGAATTACCACCCCTATCAGTTTTGTTTGAAGATCACTTATTGACTAAAATAACTTCTATTATGAAAGACCCATCACATCCACTATTTTCTTGTTTTACGTTTAACCGCTCAGGAATCCGCATGCGTGTACCAATTACCCGTAGAGCCAGATACAGAAATTCTTTTATTCCAAATTCCATGCACATCAATAACGCACAAGTATCACGAAATTCTCAGCTTTAAGCGAAATAATAGCGATTATGATTATTTGTTAACTTTTTCTCTACCCACCCAGTAAATAAACTTGTAGGGATTGGGTTGGAAAGTTTTCCACCTTATCACCTTTGTGGGTCAAAACATCCGTTGTTTAGCTCTGCTGCTGATTTTGTTGTATTTTTCTGTCATGCATTATAATCTGATTGGAAATTATGCCATCTCTCCTTCTCTATCTCTCCCCTTTCCCTTTGGACCCTTACCAACTCTCCCTATATTTCTCTCTTTTATCAGTCCTTCGAGCTTGAGCTCTCTTTTCCTTTCTCTTTCTGCTCGTATTTCGATTGTGATGCTGCTCCTGTTCTACTTTCATATTCACATTTATATTCATACCTGAATTTATTCATGATGTGTTTCAGAATTGTATTTAAAATTCTTGCTATGTATAAGTCATATAACTGTCTTGTCATGTTTTGTGCTGAAAGCCAGAGGACTTTGCTCGTAGACTTTTTCTTATATAGTCTTGACGCCCTTCTGGCTTTCAGCACACGACACCATGTTTTTGTCTTATGTTTTATGTATTACATGTTATACCAATGGAAAACAAATTTCTGTATTATATTATGGACAATAAAATCTTGAATCTTGAATCTTGAATCTTGAATTAGTATTATTATCATTATTATTATTAATTCTCCAAGGCCACCTCAGTATTGGTCGAAGGATGTGACTTCTCCCAGCCCCCCCCCCCCCCCCTCCTCCCCTCCTCCTCCTCCTCCTCCTCCTCCTCCTCCTCCTCCTCCTCATGGATGTGAGGGTTTAACTATATTCATTGATTAGTTCAGTCATTGGTCGAAGGATGTGACTTCTTCCAGCCCCCCCCCCCTCCTCCCCCTCCTCCCCCTCCTCCTCTTCCTCCCCCTCCTCCTCATGGATGTGAGGGTTTAACTATTCATTGATTAGTTCAGTCATTGGTCGGAGGATGTGACCTCTCCCAGGCCCCCCTCCTCTTTCTTCTCCTCCTCCTCCTTCTCCTCCTCCTCATGGATATAAGGTTTAACTATTTATTGATTAGTTCCGTCATTGGTCGAAGGATGTGACCTCTCCCAGCCCCCCCCCCCCCTCCCCTCCCCTCCTCCTCCTCCTCCTCCTCCTCCTCCTCCTCCTCCTCCTCCTCATGGATGTGAGGGTTTAACTATTCATTGATTAGCTCAGTCATTGGTCGGAGGATGTGACCTCTCCCAGGCCCCTCCCCCTCCTCCTCCTTCTCCTCCTCCTCATGTATGTGATGACTATTCATTGATTAGTTCAGTCATTGGTCGAAGGATGAGACCTCTCCTAGGTCCCTCCTCCTCCTCCCCCTCCTCCCCCTTCTCCTCCTCCTCATGGATGTGAGGGTTTAACTATTCATTGATTGGTTCAGTCATCGATCAAAGGATGTGACTTCTTCCAGCCCCCCCCCCCCCTCCTCCCCCTCCTCCTCCCCCTCCTCCTCCTCCTCCTCCTTCTCCTCCTTCCCGTTCCCCTCCTCCTCCTCCTCATGGATGTGAGGGTTTAACTATTCATTGATTAGTTCAGTCATTGGTCGAAGGATGTGACCTCTCCCAGGCCCCTCCTCCTCATGGATGTAAGGGTTCGCTGACCCTTATACGTATATTTCATAGACAAAACAACAAGAAACAAGAGAAACCTTTGTTATGTGTGTATGGGACACTGTAGAAACAAAAACAGATATCAAGAGACATGCGTCATCCCAATTTTCATATCATAATAGTTCTACTATCAGATCAAAAATCTATTTTAAAATTCATCTTATTTGTTTTCTCGATATTGAATCATCTGGTGGGTTCCCAACATTTAAAATGAACTTGATGAGATCCCTTATTAATTGGATGAAAGAAAGAGCCATCATCATTCTCATCATCGCTTGACTGTTTGGAAGGAAGGTAAGTCCTAGACGACGCTTTTCTTCTTACTTGATCATTCTTCGATTGAATAATGTTCAGTGAAATAGATCACTTTAGACAATTATTAGAGCAGCTTTAAAGTGCGCATCATGAGAAAAACACCCTCAGCTTTGGTAGCTCCTCGCGAAAGAGTGTCTTGTGTTACCTTGAGTGTGGTTTTTCATGATAGAGAATAATTATCTTCTATATCAAAATCCACTTGTACAAAGTTTGGTCTGAAGGAAGCGTATATGATTGTGTCAAAAGCCAATTATGTTTGTGACATGTCTTCTGACAACAATAACCTAGCTTTAATTTGTTTTTAAATCTGTTTTGTGCATTAGATAAGCAATCTTATTCATGTTACCCCAAGCTCAAATATTTCTAAATAAAAATTATATTGACGTAATCCTGGCTTCCTCCTCATTCAGTGTACATTGATTCAGTTTCAATGAATGGAGCTCATTTTGGACGCCCTATGTCAGAACAATGTCATAGGATAAACGATTTGCAGGCTTATCAAAGAAGAATTAAGACTAAAATATTACTTTAATCCCCCCCCCCGGGAGGGGGGGGGGCTTAGATTTGGTTAGGACGGGTGTGCCGCTCAAGCCTCGACACCCATACCCATTTTAAGGGGTATTTTGGCAGAAAAGGGTACCCACTTTAGGGATTTTTCTCGAAATATAGACCCATTTTTTATTTTAGGAAACGGACCCATATTTTTGTTTAAAAATGGGACTCATTAGAGTACCACCCCCCCCCCCCCCGGGCTTGAATCAAGGCCCTGTGAAAGCTGAGATACAAAATTAAAAGGGATATTAGCCACATTCGTTTCATCAGACCAAACTTGTTTTGAAAGTTTTACAACCTTTTTGTTCATCCATGCATGCTGCAGGATCTATCATAATAATTATGTACGTGTATCATTGGAGAGAATACGAGTTACACTTTAGTATACAAATAATACGTTTTTGCGAGTGCATTGGTAAATATGCAATGCACGCATGTTAAATATAAAAGTAGGATAATGAGTGAGACTTGTCGAGTTCATTGTCTGTCTCATTGTGACTTTACCAAATGCAGTGCATATCACTAATGCACGAGCTAAACACATGTATTATTTGTTTTATAAGATGGGTCTACAATATGAGTATAAAGTCGAAAATTGACGGTTGTTATCACCAACATTTTTTTTTTTTTTTTGGGGGGGGGGGTACTCGGCACTTCTGTCTAGACACCCCTGTCTCTTTACAGATAAATACCATAATTTCTTTTTCAAAACTATACACTCTTCAAAACCTGTGTGACGCGCGTGAAGGCTTGGGAAGCGAGAGTGTGTGTCTCAGAGAGAAAAAAAAAAACATTCGGACAAACGTCACTGGCAGTGCGGTGGCCTCTTTTTAGTTTGGATTCTTATTTAGTAGAACAAGGACGATAGCTATATGAAAAAGACATGGATAGAAAATCCACCGACAGTGGATGTCAATGATATGCATTATCACTGTGTAGAAACTAAAAGTTGATATGTGCAAGAGACGTGTTAACCCCTTTATCCCTAGAGCGCCCGCAATATGCATATGCTTACAAACGGTTTCAACCTCGATTTAAAATAGTAATCCTCTTCTTTATTCCTCTAAACGCTTCATCACAAATTGGTTCACGTTGACGGAATAATAATATACCAAAGGCTCACCCCCCCCCCAAAAAAAAGAAGATAATACGAACAATAATAATGATAATAATATTAATAATTGTTGATACAAAAACACCGTGTATAACCTTTAAATATGACGGAGAACATCTAAAAAATATTCTACTCAAAATTGTAATAATTATTATATAGTCAATAATGATGATTATAAACGATTCAACAATTTGACAATTAAATATCCGTTCAGATTTGCGGGGCGGATCCAGGATTCTGCATGAAAGGTGGCACATTTTTGGGGTACCAGATTTTTTGGTTTGCCAGACTTAGTCTTAAAGGGGCACGTGCCCCCCATGCAGTCCCTTGATCCGCCACTTCCGTTGGCTTGTTCATTCCTTGTCATTAATTAATTATAGACTGACCATACAAGATGAAATTCCTATTGCTGCTTACCCTTGCCGTGGCCGCTTACGCTGCTCAAGCCCCGTTCTACGACGCTGGTGAAAACGGCGTAAAGGGACGTTACATCGTCGTTCTGCAGGTAACAATATTATCTACATTCTTCACAATTTTGATGTCAAGTTTTCAAGCGGTTTTGTGGTGTGTTGAATTTTAAAAGATGCAGTAGAAAATAAAAGAAGCTACTTTTGATAAGTCAGTTGAATTTAGAGTTAAATATCTTATCTCAAAGTTTAACTCTCAAACACATTATTACAGAGTAAGTAAAAAGGGAGCCCAAATATGCGTAAGCGATGGGAATACAAATCCGTCAGACACAGTTGCAGAACATTACTGTCATACGCCTATATAAGGAACCTCAAAGTAAACGACACAGTAAAAGTTTCCAAAGGATTCCAACATATAGATGGCACAAATGCTGCTATGTATATGGCAGCTCATATTCAATTGCTAGTTATTATTGCTGATAATAATTGTCTTTCCCCTCCCATCGTGCATTTACTCTTGAGCAAGCTTTTCGTGTAACGTAATTCTTCCTCTTACTGAAAAAATGAATATTTTTATTATTACTATTAAGTTAGACTGCAACTGAATATATAGCATTTCTTTATCTGTGAATGATGAAAACGTTTTTTGTTTTTGTTTTGTGAACAGATTGTATCGGTTTCCATTGTCATTTACTTACTCTACTCAATTTATTTAACGACAGCGTTTTGACATATTTCTGATCAATGTATGTGCAAAGATTTATATGGATAACACTTATTTATCCTTTTTATTCATGAAAATTCCATTCATTTCACAGGATGGTGTAGATATCGACGCAACTTTAGAGCGTTTAATGACCCGTGTAGCTACATCTGGTCTCTTCGCTTCTATCAAATCGAAAATATCTCTCATCAATGCTTTCGTATCCGTTGTTCCCGAAGGAGGCCTTGATATTGTAAGAATTACCTTTGGTTTTTGTTTTTGTTTTTTACTACTTCTTTTCTTCATCATCTTCGTCATTATTTATGTCTTTATCTATTTCTTTTCCGCCTCTACCCCCTCCTTTCCTTTTTACTTTCTTCTTATATTCCCCTTTCTTCTACTATTTTTTATGGTTCTCTCTTTCTTCTCGTTCTTATTCCCCTCCTTGTTCTTCTCCTCCCCTCCTCCTCCTCCTCCTTATCCTTCTTCCTGTTTGTTGTTCCTCTTTTTCTCCTTTTCTTCTTTTCCTTCCTTTTCTTTTGATTAAGATAATCACAGCTTTAATATTTTAGCTAGTTTCCATAAAAGTGTGCTTATGTTGCATCGATTGCACTTTAACATGTTTTTTGTTGCCAAATGCCAAAATGTAATATTCTAGTTCCTCTGACTGTATCATGATGATAAATTATTATTCATTTAATGAAAATAGGAACGTCAGAACCAAGTACAGTCAAACCTGTCTTGGTGACCACCTCTCTATTAAGGACATCTCTCTATATAATGGCCATGCTCAGGAAAGAAATGTGTGTTGTAGAAACTGTCTAGTAAGACCACCTGTCTACAGTGGCCACTATTTCTGTCTCCATTGGGTGGCCTTAATAGACAGGATTGACTGTTCATGATTTTGAGGAACAATATTATGGTCACCTTTCAGTTGCGTTCCCTGCCTGGTGTTGCCTATGTAGAGGAAGATGAGATCATCAAAGCTGACGCTGTCGAATGGGGTCTTGATCGCATCGACCAGAGAAATCTCCCTCTCGACGGGAAAATGGACGTCGATGGTTAGTCAAATATATACATATAATATATATATATTCATCTTCTTCCTCCTCCGCCCTCTACCAAATGCAATTTATTTGCATAAAAATCATGTTCATAAATGAATATGTAAAACAATGTGAATACAAAGTATTATTTTATCCATCTGTGTTATATTCTGCATGGTAATGAATTCATATATTGTGTATAATCCATTGTAACGTACAGGGGCGTACGCAGGGGGGGGGTTGGGGGTTCAAACCCCCCCTTTGGTATTTTTATGTGTGTAAACCCCCCTAAAACCCCCCCCCCCCTCCCCCCCCCCCCCCCCCCCCCCCCCCCCCCCCTTTGGATTTTTTTTTTTTTTTTTTTTTTTTTTAATTATTAAAAAAAAAAAAAAAAAAAAAAAAAAAAAATTATACCCACGGTTAACCTAAAAAAGGTGACCTTACCCCCCCCCCCCAACGAAGAAAAATGTCAAATTTTGAAATTTCGAGACCAAAAAAAAAAAAGTGTCCGCTTGCCCCCCCCCCCCCCCCCCCCCACTGAGCGACTTTACGGCCGGCGCGATTTTCAAATTTTCGGGAGCAAACCCCCCCCCCCCCTTGAAAAAATCCTGCGTACGCCCCTGGTAACGTATATTGATATCTTTCATTCTGCTTCATTCATAGGGTTTTGTTTTTAGCTTATTTATGATTTTCTTATATTCATGCCCCCAAAATATCTTATCATGATAACTGACTATTTCAGGGACAATGTTAATTTGATAAAAAAATATAATTTGTTAACCTTGTTTGCAGGCACTGGTGCTGGAGCTCATGTTTACGTAATCGACTCTGGTATCTATACAGACCATAACGACTTTGGTGGCCGTGCTAGTGTTGCTGCAGACTTCATAGGTGGAGATGTTAGTAGACGACGGTCATTTTATTTCATTCATTTCTTTCATTTTACTGTTTTGTTGTGGGCCTATCTGTTCCTTTTTAATCTTAACCTAATGCTGTTCACAGTATTTGTTTTAATTGTATAGGGAAAGAAGGAGTAGACATAGTAGTAGTATTTGTCGTCATCGTCGTAGTGGCAGTAGTAGTCTTATGTAGTCAGGGCCATAGTCAGGGCTCGAGCTATTTTGCACAAAGAGTAATGATTTGATTACGGTCAGATGAGCATCCAGTGGTCCGCTTTAGGGTCCTTGGTGGTGTACAGGGGGCGGAGCCCCCGTAAGCTCAAGGGTTTTAAGCATTAAATAACGGTCAGAGAAGCATATTCTGATACCTCAATTCTTTCTCTCTTTCTTTCTTTTTCTCTTTAACATACTTTTTCAAAAAATGAGGGGGCTCGAGCCCCAAGCCCCGCCGTTCTGCAGGCCCTGACATGATTAAGGCTTCTTAAAAAGCATATTTTTGCCTGACTGTAAATTTGGGAATTTGTAATTTTCCAACGAACGCATAAAAAATAATATTTTACAAAAGAAATTGAGAAAACATACCGGAAAATCATGTCATTTCAGTAACATTTGTAAATCACCGATACCGAATTAGAATTAAAACACGTTTGAAATTTATTTGGAGGGCAACCCCCCCCCCCCCATCAGTACGCCAGTGTTCAGTGGCTCATGTATTCTCACCCCTATAATTAAAAAAACACACACGCTTTCCCATCCTCTCACAATATATCCACGATATGCGCGTATCGCATAAAATCCTCCGTTCATAAATATAGGGGCATGAGGAATGTTTTAATACCTGTTTACTTTCCTTTTCTTTGAATGGAATTCATTTTTATGTGATTCAATTCATGCTTTATTATTTGTTTTTGTTTTTTTGGTTAAAAAATACAAACATTTTTTACTCCTTTTCTCCTGATTTTTTCCGAAGGGGTGGGGGCGCGGTTTTTTTTTGCGCCCCTCGCTTCCGGCGCCTATGCCTCGATTGCTTATTAGATAATCTAATAAATTGAGATAAACATATCGCCACCATGATTCTTCTATTCTAGGGGCAAGATTGCAATGGACATGGAACCCACTGTGCCGGTACTGCTGTAGGTAATACATATGGTGTTGCTAAAAAGGCCTCCGTCTACGCACTCCGTACCCTCTCTTGCAGTGGCTCTGGCTATAAATCTGACAGCATCTCAGGTAAAAAGACCTTGCCAAAAGTTCGGAAAGTCCCGCTTATTGGATTTCATTCAGGGGGGGGGGGGTCTCCAACGCAGGAAAATCCCGCGGAAGGGGGGTTCAGAAATGTTGGCAGCCCTGAGATAGGGGGTGCCTACAACGGGAGGGAACAGGCATGCGCGTACCCTAAATAAGTGGGGGGGGGGGGGGGGGGGGGGTAAAATATGGGAGATTGAGACCACTTTTCCTATGTTTATTTTCTTGTGTCATTGCGCTGAGTGGCGGAAGCCCTCTCCAAATCCCCTCCCCCCCCCCCCACAAACAAACAGAAAAGAGAGAGAGAGAGATAGAGAGAGAAAGAGAGTTAACGTTAATTCTGAAGAAGAAAGAGGTGGAAATGAATTGGAAAGGGGAGGACAGTGGGAAGGGGGAAGAAAAGAACAAAAGGAAGGAAACAGAGACTAAAATAATTTCCCTTACTGCATTTAAATGAATGGTCGCTCCTTATGCAGACAAGAGTTTAAATTGTAAAAAGAATTGTTAATGTATATAAGCCTATCTTTTTCTGGGATTTAGTGACTCCCATTACCCTAAGAGCCAGACTCTTTTTAATGAAAAACTTAAAATAATAATGCAAGCATGAACAATTGTTTTTATACTGTCCTGATCAAAACTCTTCCGAATCCAATCCAATCCATAGATATTTGATATAGCGCCTTTTCCTTGCAGTTACAAAGCGCTGGTTATATTATAATGTGGTATGTAATTGATTTACATTATGTTTGTAATGTTGGCATATTCAAACGTTCGTCAAAAAGTACTTCTAGATTTCTAGCACTGAGTGATGGCTTTATGACAGGACTTCTGACAGATACCCCATCTATTTAGTTTGGAATCTGTTTTGAAGATTCCATCCACGAGTATAATCAACACCTGCTTTTATGGTTGAGATGATTTTATATTGAGCAAGTACATGCAGGCCTGAAAGAAAAAGAAATCCGTTTGTCATCTGCGTATAGTCGTTCCAGGGAATTCTTTTGGATAATAGTACAGAATAAATAACGGAGGTCCGAGCCGAGACCTTGAGCTTCCTGGACCCCAAAGAGTATTAAAAGAGCATTGAAGACAGTATCGTCAATTTTGATCCTTTGAATTCATGCGAGATATCATTATTATTGTTATTATTATTGTAATAATTATAATAATAATAATAATTTGGTTGTTATTATTATCATTATTATTATTATTATAACTGTAATTGATATTTTTATTATAATTATTATCATTATTACTATTATAATCATTATAATTTCTATTATCATTGTTCTTATCATTATTATCACTATTATTAGGTAGTAGTATTATCATTTTCATTTCTATTATAATTATTATTGTTATTATCATTATCATTATCATTATTATCACTATTATTAGGTAGTAGTATTATCATTTTCATTTCTATTATAATTATTATTGTTATTATCATTATCATTATCATTATTATCACTATTAATACTATATCATTATGGTTGTTGTTGTTGATATAATTATGATGATTTTCATAAAATTTATCTTATTTTTTTAGCCCTTAATTGGGTACGCGATAATGGGCAAAAGCCTGGTGTTGTTTCGATGTCCCTCGGTGGCTCCGTGTCGACTTCACAAAATACAGCTGTCAAGAATTGTCGAAATGCCGGCTATGTTGTAGTTGTTTCAGCCGGCAATGACGATGGTGATGCTTGCGACAAGTCACCCGCTTCTGCACCAGAGGTAAATGACTTGATTATTCAGGGGTTGGGAATCCAATTCAGGTGTGACAGGGGGAGAGGGGGAAACGGGGGGGGGGGGGGGGGGTGAGATAATGACATTGAATTTCCCAAGAGGTCATAGTAATGAGAATTTCGTCGCCCCTTTCTAGGCTCTCTCAGAATGGGGGGAGGGGGAGATGGGGGATTCTCGAAATCTTTCCCACGAGTATTAAAATGGGGGCGGGGGCACAGCCTCCCTTGTATTCCTAAACGATAATAATGCAGACATTAATAATAAGCAACATATCCATCCCGAGGGTGCTCAAGGTTTTCATGTTTTTTCCACTCTCTATAATTATATAGTAGGGGGCATCAGATCTGCTCTTATTTTCAAACAAAACAGATCTGTTCTATTATACCTCCTCCCTCTCTCACTCTCTCTTCCATCTCTTCTTATTTAGTACATTGTGATTCAGTATTATTCTCATATATTTTTTCGTTTGATATCAGAGGCGGAAGTGAGCTGATAGGAGAATAGAATGGAAAAAAGGCAGGACATACTATGTCGTTTTTAAACAGACTCCTGTTTAGCGGTATATGATACTCTGTACAAGGATGCGAAATGAATAAATAAATATCTGCATTATTATCTTGATAATACCTGATATAAACGTTTGTAATCCAAACAGTTGAATGATCCAACTGAGAAAACCAGAATATCCAATTCCCTTGGTGACACGTGATTTTTAGCTTTTTTTAGGGGGGGGGGGGTACAAATTTTCAAATTTTCGAGGGCCAAAAAAAAAATAATGTGCTCACTACCCCCCCCCCCCCCCCCCCCCCCCCCCCCCCCCCCCCACTGAGCGACTTTTCGGCCGGCGCGATTTTCAAATTTTCCGGAGCAAAAAAAAAAAAATTGGGCCCCTCCCCTGAGAAATCCTGGATCCGCGCCTGAGGACAACTACCTCCAAGGGAAAACACCCTCTATGACGACTACCCCCCGGACAACTGCCCCCTATGACAACCATCCTCTAGGACAACTACTCCCCGGACAACTATCCTGGGGGTAGTTGTCTCGGGGTAGTTGTCCGGGGGTAAGTGTCCCTGGGGGTAGTCCTCTTAGAGGGTGGTTGCCCTATAGGGGGTAGTAATGTTGTTCTAGGTTGTAGTTGACTGGGGTGGTTATCCGGCCGGGTGGATGTCCAGGGGGTATGTGTCTGGATACGTGTTTTCTTCTCTATATTATTTGGTGTAAAATGTTTGACGTGCTTTATACAGTTATAATGTTCCACGCCTTTGTATGTCTTGTATTCTGTTGTATTTACAGTGTGCCATATGGACCTTGGTTTTAAAGGTTTACTTCTGCATGTTCATGTGTATGAGTTTGAATAATGATTATGACTTGTGTGTATGTAGGCTATCACCGTGGGTGCCACTGACAGTTCTGACAAAAGATCTTACTTCTCGAACTGGGGCACATGTGTTGATATCTTTGCTCCTGGTTCATCCATCAAAAGTTGCGGTATTAGCTCCAAATATTCCACAAGCACAAAGAGCGGAACCAGCATGTCATGCCCTCATGTTGCAGGTAACGATAAATTATGTAATATATTCATAAACATTGTTTCATTGAGGCTACTCCGCGATGAAAAAGCAGAGAGTGGTATATTAGAAAATAGTATACAAAATAAACACAGCAATGAGAGTATTATAGTATACAAATATACACTGCCTTGAGAGCATTATAGTAAGAATTACCCACACGAGGTACCTTTGGACCGTTTCGAAGGTACTGAGTGTATGTGGGTAATTTTAGTAATGCCCGAACAAAATGATGTATATTATTTGTTTTATAAGAGGATATTTTATTTGTTTCATAAAATGATGTTTTATAACATGATTTTACTAACGACCGGTCATTGGTAAAATTACGTGTTAGGCAAAATAAATGCTTGGTCACGTGTACGGTCTCAACCAATCATTTGATTAGGATCCGCTTCATCATTTTATGATATAGATATGTTGACTGCTATGATCGCTGTTTCTATAGGCCCCGGCGCGCCTCGGGTCAAATCACGATGTAACGTCCCCGAGAGCCAGTATAAATATATGCTTCGAATATTAAAGCAGTCCATCATCTTGTATATACCGAATTCACAAAAAAAATCTACAAAAAATTCTTACCTTATTCTTACTTGAGTTACTTGACTTGTTAAAACATCACAACAAATCTGAGACACTGTCTGTAAATCTTCGCTGGAAAGTTGCCTGAATGTTACAATCGTTCGGGAATCGCACCCGCACTGCACTCTTTGTATCCGCGCTCACACAAAGGAACTTTTACACGTGAACCAATGGGGATCTCACCAAAATTTATTTATGCGGCACGTTAACCGGGGCATGCGGGCATCTCTTAAAAGACTATTGACCGGTAGGCGGGCATGGCTTAACTCACGACTCAAATTTTGACCAATCAGATGGCTAGATTTCTAAAGAGAGGTATATAATATACAGATATTGACTCTGGTTAGGTGCGTAATATGACATTCTCTTTCACTCTCTCCCTTTCAACTGTCTTTTCAAAGCATGGAGCTTGCAAAGCTTGCGGTCTTCGCTTACATTACACTATACTACTTTGAACCTCCACCTATACAGCTAAAAATGTACTACTCGCTTTATGGTAGCCTCACATGCGCTCCTTGGTATTACACTTATGAATAATTTACAATTGCATATTGTTTACTTGTATCGTTATGATTCTACACTGTCGCTCATAAAGGTGGAATATTTTAGTTTTACCCCAATTTATGGAATTATTTAAAAAAATATTTAAAAATAATAGATATAGATAATAGTATAATAAAAAAAAAAAACAGAAAATGCAATAAATTTTCAATAATTTATTGCATTTTACCCCGGTCCCCAACATAAAAAAATCCTCTGGACGGCTTTGCATTATCATGGCTCAAGGCAAAGGCACACATAATTTTTTTTAATGTTAGGCACCGGGGTTAAATGCAATAAATTATTAAAAATTTATTGAATTTTCTGTTGTTTTTTTTAATTTATGGAAACAGCCCCCTACCCCAGCCCCCGCTGCGTACAGTCATGGTTCAGTGACAAAGCAATGGCCTCGTAACTGTGAGGCCCCAGGATCAAAACCGTGTCGATGTGCTATATTAGTGCCCTTTTGTGGGCATTAATCCTCATTACTGTCATTTATGACTTAAGGGCATAGGTCCCCTAGTTGATAAGCATAGTAGCATACACATGCTTTATCAGTCACGCAAAACACACATTGGCAAATTATTATTCAATAAAATCTGAGAATGTATACTATTATCTAGATCCATTATTTTTTAATTGTTTTTAAAATAATTCCATTAATTGGAATAAAAAAAAAAATATTCCACCTTTATGAGCGACAGTGTATATGGTTTTTAAATCATGTTAATACTTTTGTAAAATTATTGGAAAATTAAGCCCCCCCCCCCCCCCCCCCTGGCTGCGATTCATATTTTTGAATTAATAAACCTTGAATATTATTGGATCACCATTATCACCCGTTATCGAGAATTAAATTCTCGATATCAAAAAATAAGTTATTGGTATCAAGCATTATTTATTTTTTTATATCACGAAATAGGATTTAATGTTTAAACGGCTTGCCATGCGATCATGACATGACAGAATCTGACCTGAGGAAAACGCAAGCTTTAAAACCCATAATATCGTTTTCATGTGCTTCTGTTAACATTGGGAGTAAGAGTAATACCATCATGGAACAATAAAGGAGAGAGGAGATTATGTTGATGGTGAGGGTACAAAGGGTCTGTATGGTATTCCATATTAAGTGCTATATAAATCAAGATTATTATATATTATGTTCATTCAATGAAATAAAATTCGAAATTGAATCAACTGTTAATAAAACCATATATATTATTCCATATTAAGTGCTATATAAATCGAGATTATTATATATTATGTTCATTCAATGAAATAAAATTCGAAATTGAATCAACTGTTAATAAAACCCCTTGTCAATAGTCAATAGTGTATTTTACTACCAGCTATCATGTAGCTATTTTCGCAGACGTACTCTTCTAATTATGTTCAGGTAGGTCTTAGAATTGGGTGATTAATGAAAAAAATTGTGAAATAGTTCTGACAATAAACGTAAATTCCTCATGCTACACTGTTATCTTCTCCCCAGGTATTGCTGCGGTAATGTCTGCTTCAGAGAGTGATTCTGAGAAAGTGTACGCTGCTATCATTAGTAACGCTTCCTCGGGCAAGGTTGAAGACCCTGAGACTGGCTCACCCAACCTCCTGGCTTACCTCGATTAAAAAGGAGTTCCAAGAAACGAGATCTTCTTTCAGCGAAAACCTATCAAACAAATATTTTGAATATAGTGAATTTAAACCTAAGCATTTATCCCAGTTGGTAGGGCTATATTGAAGCTCATACACACAGAAAGGATCAATGTTATGGTATTTGGGAATTAATTTTGAACATCTTAATGCATCTTAGGGATAATCACATAACTATTACTCCAATCAGCTGTATTAAAATGGGTGGACATTGTGGTCTGGTCCAGACAATTTGATTCCTTCTGAAGTTCAGAAAGTTTAGAAAATCCTTCATCCTTACTTAGAACAATTGTCATAACATATCGATGATGGAAAATCCTGACAGGAAAATGCTAGATGTGTATTTTTTCTTCTTCTCTATCTCTCTTTAACACAAAATCAAACTGTCGTGGGTTTTAGAGGTTGTTTTCAACCGATGATATTATATCACTCTGGTGCACTCCCTTTCATATCAGCGATTAAAGTCGTGAGATTATAGAGGTGGAGATGTTGTGGTCCAGTTGATAGGTCTCCGGACTGCCGACAACCAAGGTACAGGGTTCAAATCCGTGTCGCAGCACTAATGTTCATTGGCAAGATATTAATCTTCATTTGCCACACTCCACCCAGGTGAGGTAAATGGTATTAACAAAAATTAAATCCACGGTCAATGGGCATAATTTTTATTTCACTGGATAAGTACGTTCACTGTAATGGCTCTGATATCAAAGGTGAAATATGATGTAAAACAATTACCATTGCAGCATTCTATAATCAATAAAGAAAACACAATAGCAAGGAAAAACTGAACACTGTCACTGTTACGTTGTGAGTTACCATAAATGGAAAGAGAGACGAAGAGAGGGAGAGAGAGAGAGAGAGAGAGAGAGATAGAGAGAGAGAGAGAGAGGGGGAGGGAGGGAGAGGGAGAGAGGAGAAAGAGAGGAACGCAGGAAAAAAGGGTTTTATAGTCAAAACACGTCACTAGTTTACCCGTTTCCAAGACCAGTAGCGAAGCGTGTGTCTAGTAAGATCTAGATCTATAGGCGCTGATGTCATGGAGTGGGAATAGGAACAGACTTACTAGGTAGATGACATGTACGAGATTAAGGTCATCGGGTGAGGGGAAGAGTGTTGAGATAGTTGTATCATTTCTAAACACCTTGCCTTCCCTTACTCTTTTTGCTTTGTTTCTTCTCTGTTTTCCCCCTTTAGGATTGAAGGGGGATGTACCTTTAACCATGGACCTACTACACTATCCCACCATCACCTACTCGCCTAAGCGATAAAGCCTTCTGACAAAATGGCATACATTTGATGAATATAAAACAGAGGCAGTATGAACAAAAAAATCTCAGTAAAGGTCTTCTGGATACTGGTGAAAGGCTCAACTGAACATAACGTCAGCATCAACATCAACTTATAAAAATCAACAAAATCGTTATCATCATCATCATCATCACCACATCATCACATAAGCAACTTTGGCGCAAGTCGATTTTTATACTCTCGCAAACAGTGCCTCCTGTTCATCCAAGCGTGATTCGGGATGGGACGCTCTTTCGTGGGATGTATGGTGATTTGCTGTTCATCGATGATTTGTGAAATAGTTAACAGTTTTCTAGGTGTAAACTTTTTTTTGGACTCACATTGTATATATATATATATATATATATATATAGTACAATAATGCCAGAATGAGACACTGCATTTGATTTTGTCATTTTTTACACATTTTTACACATTTACACACGCTTGTTTCTTTAGATCTTCTTCAGATGTTCATTTTATTTCTTACTTTCCAACTTGCTTCATATTTGCTAGTAGATCTGTTTTTTTTAGTACATGTTTATCCGATATTATCATCATCACGTTTTATCTATCAATTTTTGTTAATTGTGTTTAAAATGTAAATGCTCAAAATCTAAATGTTACGAGAAAAGGAATTAAATGTTTTGTCCATTCTCTCTTACATTTTTGTTTTTCTTCTTTTGTTTTGTTTTCTTTTTTCGCCACTCATCCATGTATGTAAATTCGATTTATTTTATGTGTGATTTGCAATATATTAAAGTTTCCATTATTATTAGTATTGTTATTTTTTCCTTGAACTATTTTTGATTATTTTCCATATTGATGTATTTGTAATTTTTCTTCATATCTTTGAACTTTGTAATATTTGTTTGTATCAGTCTTCCGGCTGTTTTAACATGAAATTTTGATTCAATAAACCGAAATAAAATGAAGAAGAAAAAAAATCAACCTCCACAAAACAACATCAACCGCAAGTTTATTATCAACATCAAAATCATCATGATAGCATTGTAAGGGTTACATAGCCAGAGTGGTAAAGGAGGGGGGGGGGGGTGGTGAATATCTGAAGTGAAAGAGAAATTTTGAAAGTTATTAATTTTGAAGACTTGGTGAGTGGGTGAGAGATAGAGAGAGAGAGATGGAGAGAGAAAGAGAGAGAGAGAGAAAGAGAGAGAGAGAAGGAGAGAGAGAGAGAGAGAGAGATGGAGAGAGAAAGAGAGAAAGAGAGAGAGAGAAAGAGAGAGAGAGAGAGAAGGAGAGAGAGAGAGATAGAGAGAGAGAGAGGGGGGGGGGGGAGAAAGGGAGGGGATGAGATCAAGGCGATTAATCTTAAAAACATATTATTCAAATCCAGTAGAATGATAGGTGTGGGACAAAGAAGTGCATGTATGGATTGCAAAGAAAACAATTCAAGTTGTTGGAAGAAAAAAGCATCACCCGAGAAAACAATGATCAAATCTGTCTCACAAATTTATTGTGTTGTTGCTGATGACACAACGAACAGAAATAAAAGTAAATCAAAATGATAATTTACAAGTTATGAAGAGATATACAGTAGGTTTATGGTTACACCATGTGAGAGGGGAGGAACCGTAAACCTACTGTATATCCGATCACCATGCAAGTCGATACTTATAAGCATCATTATGAATAGATATATTAAAGAAGCACTCATCGTCCCACAGGAAAATTAAGGCTTGGAAGACATTTTCTTCTGCGTTGGCTCAGATTGCACCCCCCCCCCCCCGCCAAGGTCTAGATACTCATTGTCAGGGCCGCCCCCGCCCCCGGGGGGGGGGGGCAGGGGGCATAGTGCCTCACCTTTTCAAGTACCGCCATAGTGCCCCTTTTTTATATAGGAAAAATGCCCATTTAACATTGACAAGTGCCCCTTTTATTTTGACAAATGCCCCTATTCCTTCGACAAGCTCACATTTTCCTTCGCAATAAGAATCCATTTTCCATTCATATAAGAACCCTTTTAATCTCTATTTAGTGCCTCATTTCAGATACGACAAGATGCCCCGTCACCTCTGATAATTTCCTTATTCAAATTTTACTTTGACAAGTGCCCCTTTCCATTTTAGTAACTACCCTCTCTATCTTAGATAAGCGCACCTTATATTTTTACATGTGCTCCTTTTCCTAATTATAAGTGCCCCCATTAGAAAAAAAGTCCCTTCCCCTTCTCATAAATGCCTCTTTTTATCTCTGAAAAATGACCCTTTTCAGGTACGAGAAGTTACTCCTTTTTACTTCAGATAATTGCGCCCTTCACCTTTGATAATTGCCCCTATTCTAATCTGAGAGATATACTCATTGAGTGATTTCAAGTTGGTTGTTTAGGGCTGGTGTTAGTGTTAAATAAACACTAACATCAGCCCTAAACATCGAAATGGAAATCAGCTGGTGTTACGGCTTTGACCGCTGAATATCGTCAACTTCCGGTTAGCTAGTGTTATCGATTTTGCAAAATTGTCGTCTGCTGAACCGACCTTTGTGGCTGGTGTTAATATTTTATGTACATTATGTCATATTCACTAACACTAACACTAGCAGGGGCGGATCTTGGGTGGCCAAAAAAAAAAGAAGGAAAAAAAGGAAAACATATTTTTTTAATTATAGTTTTAATGTCGGGGGCAAAATGATGCTTTCTACCCCGCCCCCTTAAAATGAAATCCTGGCTACGCTTGGGGAGGGGGTGCAACCTGCCACACGCTTCTACCTCTTAGTTGCTTTGATCCATTGCCGAAAATATTTTGGCACCAATCATCCCCCCCCCCCCCCAACCACGGATACAAATCGACACCCTTGTCAGTACCCAATAGAATAACGAAAAGGGAATACTTTTTATCATGCATTTTATTGCCAGTGCAATCTTGTTTCCTCGTAGTTAAATTAAAAAGAGAGTTATGTTGTGTGATCAGTGAACACGCCCTTACAATATTCATTCACATTACCCTCACACACTCATATCTCCACAAAACTGATGACACAATGAACGTAAATAAAAGTAATAATTTACAAGTTATGAAGAGATATATTTAAAAAGCACTCGTCTTCGCACAGGAAAGTTCGGGCTAGGGAAAACATGTTCTTCTTGGGTCACCGTTGGCTTGGATGCCCCCTCCCCCAGCCAAGGTCTAGATATGCACTGTCATGCAGTCTCTGAACTTTCCAATCTTATCAATAAGTTCATGTGAAAAGCTTCAGCTGGAGGCCTGTATCTATGTTGTTGCTTGTTTAAAGAATATGAAAATAGATAGTGAAACTAGATTAAGCCGCGATAAGATAAGCTTTAATTGCATATGGTGTACAAAAGCGTATCAAAAAAACTCTTGATATTAAATTCATATGGTAATCTGAATTTTCTCTGACCAGGCTGCAAACTTCTTGTCTTCTTTAATTATCTGACACAGTTGCAAGACGTTCGTCTGCTTTGATAATTTGTGAATTTCGCCATCTCTCGCGTAAGTTATCGTTACCCGAATAGCATATGAAATCGATGATTTAAGCTATACAAAATAATCACAAGTAAATATGAGGAAAGGCTTTGAAAAGGGTTAAATTCAATAATTTAATAGAAGGAAGCTATGTATGATGTTATTTTAACGCGGAGAATGTTAGCCTCAATTCTTCCATTATTGAACATTATAAGGAGTTGAAATTAACATTAACTTTTCCAATACTTGAGTGCACAAATTAATATTACAAACATTACAAAAAGAAAGAAGAAAAAAACTCTCTAAGCTAAATTGATTTTCAGTCTGTAAAGCATGCAAAATGGTTTTCGACACCCATTTTTTTTTTCAGCCCAAGATTGGTACAAACGAATTGTTTCAAGACTTTTTGAAAAGTTAGTTGCTAAAACACCTGTGGAAACAAAGTAATGAATAAGGTGTCATTAGAGAGAATAAAGGTACTCTTTACCATGTAAACAACTTTCAAGGGCACATAGTTTATCAACATTTCATAATGCT